AGTAAGTAATACGCGGAGTCCCTAAAGAACTCGACATCGACTACATAAAGGAGGATCTGACCGCTCAGGCCCTCCCGATAGTTAGTGTGCACCGGATGCACAGCGGGCGGGGCAAACAGCCCTATAATATGATACTCGTGGCGTTAGAACCCACCCCGGAGGCCAAAAAGAAGATCGCATGTCTCACGACAATTTGCGGCCTATCCGGGATNCGCCAACAGCCTGTTGGGACGGCGGGCCACAATAGGCCTCCTCCCGCACCGAGTTGATATTTTTTACCGTCAGTGCGTGATAGGCCGATAAAGGCCTGCCGTGATGTTTTTATAGGGAACACCTATACTTTTGACCACAATCTCAAATATATATTTGTCTTTGTCGTACCTTTACAAACACCTGAGATAATCGTTCCGCACCAGCGAGAGGGACATAGTTTTCTTCGTCCGCACCAGGTGAAATTCCGCGGCAGGCTGATTTGGGCCTGTTCCGCAGTGAACGTGTTAACATAAGACGTTTTATGGCAAAACAGCGAGGGTCCTTAGTGAACGTTACACGTTGTTTTATGGAGACATGTAAATTAAATGACGTTTTATATTAACATGAGTCGGTTTTCTTTGGAATTACTAACTACTAATGAGTCCTACGTAAATAACAACCTTGAAATATTTAAACATAACGTTCCTCATATCATCACTGCCCTCCTATATAACTAAAATCTCAAAACTGGTATAAAGAATCATCATAAACAGCAACCATAACACTAAAAATTACAAAAAAAAAACTTACAGGTTCATGTATCAATTAGAACATTGCAGGACGCAGACGCGGACGAAGATAATAAAACTAATTTTTTTTTTATAATAACAACATTAAAATCAGCAGTATCAAAGTTTTTTTTTATTGCTTAGATGGGTGGACGAGCTCACAGCCCACCTGGTGTTAAGTGATGACTGGAGCCCATAGACATCTACAACGTAAATGCGCCACCCACCTTGAGATATAAGTTCTAAGATCTCAGTATTAACTATACTGAGATCTTAGAACTTATATCTCAACGGCTGCCCCACCCTTCAAACCGAAACGCATTACTGTTTCACGACAGAAATAGGCGGGGTGGTGGTACCTACCCGTGCGGACTCACAAGAGGTCCTACCAGCAGTAAACTATCTACTCACTAATCGTAGAACTAATCTACAAATCACTAATCTATAATAATCAGCCTTCATAATTAATCAATCAGTCTTACATAGTAACCTAGACTTATAACTGGTGCACATACTTAATAGCAATGAAATGGCATGTAGACAAACATAAAATATTATAATTAACATTGCTTCGCTAAATTAGTAGGAAGAATTCAGCTCTAAAAAGAGGAAGCAGACACTAGATAAAATTATTCCAATAGATTATCATTCGATTCTTCAGAAGCAGTAACAGTTATGTGATGTGGCAAAGAGTTAAAGTATGGAGTTCCTCTAAGGGAATAAGTTCTGAGCGGCACATATCCATTAAATCTTTATACTTTGCAGCAGGAATCATAATAGGTCCAGAATATGCAGCTTTTAGTTCAGCTTGTACCTAGTTCCTCGTATTACTACGAATTACTAAAATATCATAATCAGGTTGAGTTAGATCATATTTCAAAAACAAATTTGTTGGGATGTTATTCCAGTTAATCTTCTTGCCCTTAATGTCTTTGATCCAAACCTTATTATTAACAAGACTTTTAAAGTCGAATACGTCATTCTGGGTTACGTTTCGAACAACATAGGGTTCTCCTTCATTCTTGGCCCATCTTACTAACAAACGCCATTAATGAGGGGTATATATAGTTTTGGTTTGAGAAGCTCTCTTGATGACAGAGTGGATACTGTCCCCCTCATTTTGGGTATGCTCTTTCTGTAAAAACCGGTGTGTAATGTATATGTTGAACTTTTTGCGGCATAAATGTATAATGAATATACAAAGCGATTACAATTTTGGCCAGCACAATTGTCTGACCAAAAGCGGAACTCCTTGGTCCCTTGTTCAACATTAGTCTGTATAAAATTTAAGAGGCAACTGCTTACCTCGTTTGCTCCACGTTTTTCCACANATATTTGAAAACAGTCAAATAAAAATAAATTATTCGGTTATTAATAATTGTCCACTAGAAACTAAATTAACTGGATTATTATTAATCGGTACACTTTGCCAAAACTTCTTCTCCAAAACTTCTGTTCATTGGCATAAGCTAAATAAAGTTGTTACTATGCCTTCCTTTTTACTTTCGTTAATGCCTCTTGGAATATTTTTTAAGGTTGGCATGATCAAGGGATTGTGTTTTTTAATAAGAAAATCCAACTCGGAATACGGAGATTCAAAATCATTCCTATAAAACATATTACGGCACCCTTTTACAAATATTACTTCAACCAAAGAACTAAGCAAAAAATTATTAATGGGAACAAGGTCATCATTGCGTCGCGGTATGCGTTTCTTTTTTACCCACTCATACGATTTTTGGAATTCGATAACTTCAATATGCGATCTGCAACCCAAAATTACATTCTTATAGTCTTCAAAATCGTACACAGCACTTTTGTTTTTAATCTGCCTCTCCATATTGCCATGAACTCCATCAGCTGACATACGTGTGTGATCTTTAGTTAGGTAGATATTACAAAACTTTCTAAATTGAAAAACCCAGAGCTTATTATAGTAACAAGTGATGTAAAGAGGATCCAATTTTTTTTTTGAGCTGTGCAATTATCACACCACAATATCAAATGATTAAAATCTCTTTCTTTTTCGATCATTGCTGAAATTGCATTAACAATGTCATGAGCATCTCGTCAATAGGCTTCATGCCATAGAATACAAATACTATTAACATTAGTTTTCTTTCTGATTGGTGCAAATGTCAAGTTGAAAGTTATCATTCTACTCAAGAAAAACGATTCTTTGACTTTAGGCATGTCGGGTAACAACATAACTTTTTGTAAATCCATCGAATAGTATCTCACAGAGGAAGTATTTTCTAGGGAGGCATCTTCTTGATACTTTTGTATTGCTTTACTTGCTTTAACTTTGTGATCCCCGTATGCAGTTTTAACATCCTCTGGAATAATTGCACCTTCATTTACTTTATGTCGTAGTAGGTTGTAATTTTGGAAAACAAAAAACTTTGACAATAATAAAACACACTGAAGCGTACTTACATTTTACCATGTTGTTCTTTTAAAGCATTCAAGATCAATTTCGACCTATAAAACTGATTTTTACTCATTTTATAGACAAAAACACGAACGACGTGCAACGATTTTCTCACTTACTAAAGTTTCGCGGGAGTTTTGACGTTTATTTCAACCATTTCATTGACTTAGTATCTGCATGAATCATTTTAAATCCAAGTAACTACAAGCACTTATTAGGTTTTTAAAATGGTTGATGTTATATACTATGTTCTAATCTTGTAATTTTTGCATTTTGAAAACGTTTACTGTAGATACTAGGTTTCCGACTTTGTGTAACTTCGTTTTTTACAAAATTTTTGGGGTTTTTGCTATCCTAGTATGTGGAGAATGGTCTACAAAGTCGAAAAATGCAAAAACACACTTTTTTTTTAATTTGTCAGATACTAGGTTTTGAAATTGGACAGCAATTAATTTTTGTATATATAGATAAATATTTTCGCATGATAGTATGTATGAACTTGTAATAAAATCTCTTTGGCTATACAATTTGTATCTGGCTGGTTTTAGTATCATTAAAAGTTGAAATTTTAAAGAAGATAATTCCAAATTCGAGTTAAGAAAATGTGTGATTTCTATTTATTTTTCGTACTGTCAAGATGAGTGAATCTAATGAAGAAATTCGATACATTTTAAAATTTTACTACAAAAAAGGTAAAAAAGCAACGCAAGCCGTGAAAAATATTTGCGATGGTTATGGACCTAGTGCAGTGTCTGTGAGAGTAGCACAAATTTAGTTTAAGCGTTTTCAATCCGGAAATTTTGATGTCAAAAATGCACGTCGCTCTGGTCGCCCTATTATGGATAAAATCGATGCCATTTTTGAAAAAGTGGGGCAAGTACGGCATATCAGTAGTTACGACGTAACTGAAGAACTGGGAATTGACCACAAAATAGTTATGGCGCATTTGAAAAAAACTGGGTACACAAAAAAGCTCACTGAAAGAAACCTAATGAACGGTGTACTCATTTGTGATTCTTTATTACGACGTAATGAAACCGAACCATTTTTGAAGAAGCTGATAACTGGTGATGAAAAGTGGATCACTCACGACAAGAACGTACGAGAAAGGTTGTGGTCAAAGGCCAGTCAGGATTCACAGACTCTGGCGAAACCCGGGTTAACTTGCAACAAGGTGATGCTGTGTGTGTGGTGGGATTGGAAGGGAATTATTCATTATGAGCTGTTACCACCAGGCAGGACCATCGATTCTGAACTCTACTGCGAACAACTAAAGAGAGCAAGAAGTTGAGAGAAAGCGGCCGGAATTAATCAACAGAAGGGGTGTGGTTGTTCATAATGATAACGCTAGACCTCACATATATTTAGCCACTCAGCAAAAATTAAGAGAACTTGGCTGGGAGGTGTTGATGCATCCGCCGTATAGTCCTGACCTTGCACCTTCAGATTTCCACCTGTCTCGGCCTCTTCAGAATTATTTAGGCAGTGTCAGGCTAACATCACGAGAGGACTGCCAAAACCAATTTCGCGGTATTTTGATAAAAAGCCCCAAAATTTTTATAGCAATGGGATCATATCCCTACCTACGAGATGGCAAAAAGTTATTGAACAAAATGGTACCTACATATTTTAGTTTAATGTAAATAAACTATATTCAAAAATGTAGTGAATATTCTTAAAAAAATCATAGAAACTTTTTCCCCAACCTAATAAAAGATTAGGTTGTATGGTATGACACTTTTGCCTTTCCAGTTAGAAAAGTAAAAATAAATCTAATAACGTCAAACATTGTCAGCTGCTGCTGTATATGTCAAAACGTTCACACTTCACAATTCACACAATATGTTTCGATTACGGTGATAAATAATTATTTATGAATAGAAATTATAAATTAATAGTGTAGTAGGGAATGCGTTTAACAAAATGTCCGAAGAAGAGAGTGTTGATATTGAACAAGAACTCGACGAACTCCTGACGAACGTGCAACCCAACTTACAAGATGTATTTAAAAGAGTAAATATCTTACAATTCTATTTTCATACTTTAAAACTATGAAGTAAATTTAAAACGACTATAAATTATAAAGTAGAAAATATCAGGAATTTATGATTAATTATTTCTGTTTTTATTTTTATGCCGATATATACAGACCCAGTATACGAACCGACTAATAGTAAGTAGTAACCGTCGCTCGTGGGTATCAGCAGTGCTAGGGGCATAGCCAAGCCACTGCCAACTGCTAACAAAAATAAATTAACTATCTCAAAATTTCCAAAATAATTTTAAACCATTAGTTATCTTGCAGGGCTTTACCAATGTAGCGCTTCAACAAACTAAGAATGGAGAACAATTAAAACCGGACACCCTCGCTGACACCTCATATTTTGCCAAAAATACACAAGTGTAAGTATCCAGTCAACTGTTTTTATTTTCTCATAAATAACTGAGATAAAACTATGAACAACTTTTGTCTTTCGAGATCACCTCTCTTTTATCTCGATAGACAAAAGTAAACGCTGCAAGATCGGTTGTAAATATAAGTCAATACTTTGCAGGATTTGTTTTTTTTTTTGTTTCAAGCTGGTATGCCCTGGTATTAATATTTTTCTATTATAAAACTAAAAACATTGTCAAATAGACACAATTTTGAAGTTCCCTTTAACATTAATCTAACTGCGCTGTTGTACCATTGTTAATGTGATGGCTGACAGTTTCCTTTGTCTGGTGCACCTATTGCACATCTGCCTGTGCCAGCTCACAAAACAACAACAAAATTTACAATTAATATACGGTCTAAAATCAACAAACTATATTGAAAAAATACACATGTTGTAGCTGAAACTAACAAAATTAATCCTACTGAATTTTTAGAATAAACTTGTTTCAAATTCAAATTCAAATTCAAAATCATTTATTTCAACTTAGATGTCAGTATGACACACTTGTTGAATGTCAAAATACAAATAACAATGTTAACTCTACCACCGGTTCCAAAAAAAGCCACAGTCCTGAGAAGAACCGGCGAAACAAACTCAGCGGGCTTTTTTTTTTTTTTTCTCAAATATTTTCTTTTTTTTAAATAAATAGAAATATTCACAATAAAAGAAAAAACAAGTCAAAAAAATACAATTAAAAATAATAATAATAATAATGAAAAATGAAAAGGCCAGGAGCGAGCGCCTCATTCCCACGTAGTGCCATCTAGTAAATAATCCTTAACTTTATAATATGCCTTGTTGCACAAACGTTCCTTAACAGTTTTCTTAAATCTATGAACAGGTAGTAGTTGAACGTTTAGTGGGTTCTTGTTGAAAAGCTGTACACCCAGCCCCCTAAAAGAGTTGCTTATTTTCTTAATTCGAGCCGCCGGCAGCGGCAGTTTAGACTGAAAGCTAAATTACTCAGTTTACTCATATCAAGCCAGGTAACCAACTATGCTAGTATTAAAATCCTGCAGTCAGGAATTATTCGTTTAAGGGAATTCATATTTAATATGAATACCATCCATTATGAAGAAATACGGTCATATAATAGTCAAACTTGCAAAGTTTTTAAATTTGCACAAATACTGATGAAGAATGAGACTACTGTTCTACTATAAAATTGAGATTTGATCGCAAGTCTGAAAATGGCTATATTCACATTGTAACGTCCATAAGATCAGTGAATAACTGAACAGCAAATTGGTAATGAACTCAACAACCCATCTATGCAATGAAATGAATAGAAAAATTTCAAGGAATATCAGACTTTCCATTTTGTAACATTAGATCATTAAAATGCATAAAATCATACTACTGTTGCAATGTATATTATTATGCAGTTTTACAAGTGTTTTTTGTCAAGGCTGTTTCAATGGCACTGTTTTAGAAGTAAATATAGAAACAGAAATTACTGTAATTGTCGATTTAAAACTTATTTTTATTAACTTTATATATAAATTGTAATAACAAAAATGTGATAGTAGTTTCTGGAATCTTGCAGATGGCCACATCAGAACTTTTTTCCAAATTCGATTTCCTTTTATTCTAGCGGTAGCTAACTAGGGTCTGGACTTATTCCCAAATTTGGCCTTGGTATTTGGTATTTGATGTATTAATGAATGCTCTTGTCTCATAGACAACTGAATAATGTTATCATTTGTTGCAGCAATCTATCAAGGTTAGAACTTGTTAAGTCACCAACATTCCACGTCCAAACTTTATCCTTAGACCTGAAGTCAATGAGCATGGCTGTACGTTGTTCACTCGGCGAAGTGAATATAAGAGGATTGTATAGTGCCTATAATGAAAATCTCTATAACCTCATTCCTGTAATGGCAGATGGACATGTAGTGTAAGTATTATTCCCTCGTAAAATTTGGTACATAACATTATGTACTTGTCTGTCACTTATTGTTATACAATATTGTTAGTAAAAATTTAATAAGCCTTAATTTATTAATGTACAATTCAAAATAACATTATTCAATATCAATCTCAAATAATATAATAATTTCAGGATATAAAATATAAAGCCCTAGAAGTAAAAAAAACATGTTCGTATGTTGCTCTCTGAGATGAGGACAAAAACACGTGTATAGTTACAATATTATTCAATTTAAATATGATATTGAAAAAAGAATAAACGCAATACATAATTTTATCTGTATTTGTAACATTGATTTCTAATCAATGCCATTAGTGAAACATTAATATTTATCAGTAACTAATATACCAAGTGTGCATTAAAAATATAAATTTATAATTTTAGGTCTGATCATTGTGTGGAAAAGGTAACAAAATGAATAGTAACGCTCAAATTTTAGAATAATCTTTGTTTTATTTTGTCTTACAAATAACTAATAACTTGAGAACAAATCATGCACAGTAATACGGCCCCAAATTAGGGTTCCCTGTGTTATTGGTACCAGAGACTAACACACATATTTATATAGGTTTAAATGTATACATATATAGTTAATAAACACTCAGACAAAATGCAGTTAACCTATTCCATGGGCCAGGAAGGTCAAGTACCTGGGTTTCACCCTGGATGATTCCATGACGTTCCGCCCACATATTAAAACAGTTCGCGACCGTGCCGCGTTTGTTCTCGGCAGACTTTACCCCATGATATGTAAGCGGAATAAAATGCCCCTTCGGAACAAGGTGACACTTTACAAAACTTGCTTAAGATCCGTCATGACTTACGCGAGTGTGGTGTTCGCTCACGCGGCCCGCTCACACATAGACACCCTCCAATCCCTGCAAACCCGCTTTCGCAGGCTAGCCGTCGGGGCTCCGTGGTTCGTGAGGAACGTCGACTAACACGACGATCTGGGCCTCGAATCAGTCCAGAAATACATGAAGTCAGCGTCGGAACGTTACGGGCTATGCGTCATGATAATCGAATTATCATTGCCGCCGCTGACTACTTCCCGAATCCTGATCACGCAAGAGCCAGTCACCGTCCTCGCCCTAGACACGTTCTTACGGATCCATTAGATCCAAAAACTTTTGCATTAGATGCCATCAGCTCTAACATTAGGAGCAGACTTAGGGACCCCGGTAACCGTACTCGTCGAACTCGACGTGCAAGCTACTCCATGCATCAGCCCGCTGAGTTTCTCGCCAGATCTTCTCAGCGGGTCGCGATTCCGATCCGCTAGTAGATTCATTCCCGAAGCAACTGATCTTGAGTTGTTAGGTCTCCTGCGGAAGCGCTCGGGCTGCTGTTAGCAAATCCCATCCCTCCTGGCTGAGCTTGCCCTATCTGTTCTGGTGAAACTGGAAAAAAGCCTCCGGGCCACCAGTAATACTTCAAACATACAAACCTGTTCATCACACGAATGTTTTGCTGGGATTTGAATCCATAATTATCGGCGCCACAGTCAGGGGCACTAGTTACTGCACCATCAGAGACACCATCAGAGTCAGTCAGAGTTGTAAGCTAAATATTAAATTACCCACGTTGTGCCAATACCAATCATAGTTTAGGCTTCTGTAACAAGCTCTCTCGCTATTTGTTAGTATATAACTCGCCTACGACCACAAAAATAATATCTTATATACTACAATATCATTTTAGCATAGCATGTCAGATTATGTACACCGGTATTCGTCCGATGGTTGAGATCCCTCCATAAGCACCGGCACAGACACCTCAAGACTTAAATTAATGTTACGTAGATACAGTTTCATTTCCGTATTGTTATTAAAAAAATGTAGTAAAGGTAAACAAAAATTGTTTATACAATTTTATTTAAATCACTAGTTCATCAATAGCTCCTAAACGCTAAAAAGTTAAATAATTTGACAAACAACAAAAAACTCGCACTTAACTATTTTGATATTTAAAAAACAAACTATCTATTTTAAAAAAAAATCATTGATTACGCTAAAGTTCTTTATAATATTAATATTTTAACTTGACGGTATAATCCAAAGAAACTTCATCAAACTTCAGCGAATGTATTAATGTTTTAAAACAGACAGTATAATGTTTCCACTGATCTCCACTGTCCAGGAAAGAAATACTTAAATATCTCATTGTGAAGTATTTTTTAGAATATCATTATCAAACATGACTGCAGATGTGAACATTGGCTTGGTGATTGAAGACGACGCCTTCTCGTTCATCAATCCAGGAATAGACTTCACTCATGATGAGGTCCTTGTAAAGGTAACTAGTTTCGAAATTGCAATACCTTATATAGTCGAACCTTAAATTACAAAAGTGATAATTTTAGTACTGGACTACTATGACTAGACTAGAATGGTAGGGAAGCGCTCGAGGGATCGTATTCCTGTTGTTTTGGGTGTATTCACGAAATAGTTTATGTGGTTGTCTAGAATAGCACAACCCTAGCTCTTGCTTATTAGGCGACTAAGAAATACGGATACTGAACCATAGCGTTCTCCTAATAGCCAGTATTTACGATCGCCAACTCCATTTACGTGGTAGGGCATCAGAGTCCATTTCAGCATCATGCATATTTCTGAGGCGAAACATGAATGCCGGTTTGATTGATGAGCAAATCGACATACACTATAATTGAAACTGACCGAACGTCGTTAAAATGGCTAAGGGTATTCACGTTGTGCTGTGACCATAGACCTCGGTAACTAAATACGAGACAGGCGGTAAAACCGTCTTCCACTAAAACAAAGTTATAAACATACTGCTTCTACTATTCATACTACTTCATATCTTAAAAACATGCACTGTCTAAGCATTTAAACAATATTAAGTCTGTGGTCCATTCATATGACAGATTAAAAGTTCATGAGCTAGTTACGTCATAGTTTTGACATATGTATGGTATATCAGATTCCAAACTTGTCACGTACCATTTTAATATGAATATTTATCCGATTTCCCTAAAGGATCTTACATCCGGATACAAATGTATAATGTATATTCTTCAGCACAGTGATCCTCAACCACTGTGTCGCGAATGATTTGCTTTCCGCCGAATTTTAGAAATAGATATATTAAAAATTATAATGCTTTTTTTTATTACGAATAAAATTTAATTCAAAAAAAAGCAAATATATATGAAATTTGTTGTTTTAAGTTTGTGCAATTATATTATTAAATACATAAAAAATGTTTACTTTGTATGCAAAATTTTGAAGAAATTTTATATCGTAAAATATGCAGCCGCAAAAAAGTTTGAGAATTACGGCTCTAGAATATTCCAGAACTCAAATGAGAAAGGTTAACTCTATCTAACTAAATCTAACGTCGAATTTGGTAGTTGAAGACCAGGGAACAAACAAAAACAAAATATGTATAATACGATATGTTATAACATTATGGGTAATTTCCCTATTAGCTTTCGTGGCCATCACCTCAAAGAAACGGCGGCTATGAATTCGTCACCACGGAGCAACTGGCCAAACACATAGGTAAGATTTTAAGATTATATTTACATTTATTTAAATTTATAGATTTTATTCTTTATTCAAATGTAACTTATTATATAAATAAAAACCAGTTTTACTTCATTATTTAAAGAGGTTACTTACTACATGTATTAGAGTTATATACTTTTTTCATGTAGCCTTATTAGAAGACACTAGATAGTTGAAATCTATTAAGTACTTTTGACTCTTATTGGTAACATCCCACCAACAGCAAAACACAAAAAAATATACTTTTTTTGTTCTACCTCATCACCATTAACTAAAAGCCTCGAACGGATATTCTGACTTCACTCTGACTGGTAGCGACGTTCCCAACATCTGTCCTAACAAGAGCAGTGATTCGCTGAATCTAGCATCGGATCGAAATCGCGACCCACTGTGAAGATTCACAGATCACAGAAGATAATCACAGATTACGCTAAGGGTTCAATAAAGACAAATAATATTATAGAAAAACAAAATTAATCTATTCACAACTTGACCGCAGACTTAACAATAAACAAAATGGTATATATGCGTGTGTGTGTGTGTGTGTGTGTGCGCGTGCGTGCGTGTGTGCGTGTGTGTCAAATACATTTTGTTATTTGTAATGTTTTCTTTATTGGTTTAATGTATTGTTTATGCATTATTTAAAAAAAAATCAGCATTGTGCACTCCTCTATGTTCTCTATAAATGTGGAAAAATTCATACTCCTCCGTCCGCGCAATTTTCGTAAAAAGGGATACAAAGTTTTTGCTTCATGTATCCATATATGTTTATTGTTGAGTCTGTGCTTATATAAAGGGTGTGTGATATTATGCAGCGTGATAATTATTAATAAGACACGACGGTTTGCAACTTGTTTATTGTAGGACGACTCGACACAGACTGTCTAAGATAAGCCCGCTACATTTATGTGTGTAGTATGTGTACATTTATTAACTTGCTCCCAGACGACTTGCCGCTGACGGCCGCGATATCGTTGCCCCTGTACGCGCTTCTACGTGATAAGCTACAGCGACATCTGGCGGTGGTCTTGCGGCAAGCCACGAGCGTTTCGGAGCTGGTCTCCTGCAATCCTTGTTTATATGAGGCTTATAGGTGAGACTTGTGTTATCTTATCCTACATATTCGTATAGCAAATATATGTTCGCACTATCCACATATTTATATTACAGCAATGCGAGTGATCATTTCCGGAATTAACGTTGTGATGCTCACGGGCTCCAGCAACCGCTTTAGACCAGGTGTTCCGTCAGCACATTCCCCTGTCTATACATTAAAAAAACAGTCTCATTTTTTTGGCTATGATTCATGAAATATTTGAAATACATGTGTTTCTAACTGCTCGGGTGCCACCTCTCATACATTCATAGTACTGTGGCACAGACCTTCGCTGAGATGCAAAATGATAACGAAAAAGCTACATGTTTGTACCACGCTCGTAGTTTAATAAAAAAAACGCAAAATTAAACAAACAAACGACGAATTTTCCAGTTGAGCTATTACTCGCCCACGTGTCCTGGTGAAACTGGAAAGGCCACCGGGCCACTAGTAATAATTTAATTATAAAAAAGGACGAATTTTATTTCTAGAACATTTTTCCATAGATCGAATACGGTAGGTTACGTTCGATGAAGCTGTTATAACCTGGAATAGGTACGGTGGGTTACATTCGGTGAAGGTGGTCCCCCGAAGCCACCAGCGTGGGTAGGCTAAAAAAATGGTACATGATAAGAACTTGTTTATCAATGATATTTCTTTTCTTTCACTTGGAAAATATACAAGGGTCAATTTTGGATTTTTTTAATAAAGTTAGGTTTTAGTGCCGATTCGAAGTAGTAGTGTAGTAGTTATGTCGTTCTAAAATTTTTTATAAATTTTAAGAAATGGTCTATTATTTATTTTACGTTATCTCCTCGTGTATTGCTTTGATACTGGAAAATTGTTTGGTTTTTTTTACCTATGTTTACACATTGTATGTGTGGATGTAATTTAATGTTAGTCTAACAAAGCAATAAAATTAGTAGCATATTTACTGTTAAAATACTTGCATTTGTTTTATACCGTTTATCAAGGATTAGTATTAGGCAATAAAACTTTCAAACAATCACCGACGAAATATTTAACCTTAAGCCTACTGAAGCATTGAAATTACCAAATAGCAAATTAGAAAATTCATAATCGAGTCATTGAAAAACGAAATCATTAAGTCAATAAAACAAATCAAGCTGTATTGGATTATAGTCTATACTAATATTATAAAGAGGAAAGATTTGTTTGTTTGTTTGTTTCGAATAGGCTCCGAAAGTACTGGACCGATTTGAAAAATTCTTTTTCCATTAGAAGCCGACATTGTCCCTGATGAACATAGGCTACTTTTTTTTTTTTTTATAATTTTTTTTTTTTTGTTTCATGTGTGTTTTAATGTTTCCGAAGCGAAGCGAGGGCGGGTCGCTAATTTTTAATAAAACTGATTAGTATTTATTTATGTTCACCATGTCAAACGCTTTAAGACCTTATGTAATTATTAAAAAAATATATGCACATTACTGTAACAATACTATTATCCTATATTGTCCTAAGTGACGCAAACTCCAATGACTAATAATGTTGGAATAAAAAAATGACGGTAGTTAGTATGTCATGACAACGAAAACTATCGGAAATAATAATCGCGAAAAAACCGAACAAAACGCGAAATATAGCTTCTTTATTATTATTATTATTATTTCTTGAACCCCAACCTTCTGTTAACAAGTTTTAAATCAATTTTTTAAAGAAATCTCACCCTAAAAATAGTTGCTTGCATCCGCGGTAAAAGATGACGTCTTCATATCGTTTTTACGACCGCACCGCCCTCCGTGGGAGGCAGAGCTCATCCATCCTACTTAGAATACTTATTAATAAACAGTGATTGTCCTGAAATATTCTTTCCAACTACCATCCGGTTAGGACTTCCATAGTCCTTTCTAGTTTCTAAGCGCTAAGACATGTTCTTTTTTAAACCTCAAACCTCGAGGGGAATCCCCAGCAGTAGGTGACTACATGAGCCCCTGCTGACGTCTATGAGCGACGATGATCACTCACCATCACAAGGGTTGTATACTCGTCTAACTATAAGAGCAATAAAAAAGCATTAAATTAGAATTAGTATCTCGTGCTACTAATTAATATTTATAGATGATAGTACTCGCTGAATTATATGGTACGTATCATTTCAGTGCAATGGTGGACAGTCTAGCAGAGAATGGTAATAGAATTGTGGACATGATCCTCATCAACATGAGGAGAACATTGCTACAGAACTGTCGAGAAGTTCTAGAGCTCCCGCCATTACACGCCATGTTTATGCATAAGGTATGTAAATTATTGTTTTTTTTTTTTTCGAACATTTTAATTTTGCTTCAAAACCCACACCAGTAGTAACCACACGATTTAAACTTTAGCTCGAATTTCCTCAAAAAATATTGTTAGTGTTGCCGTAATAATAATAAACTGAAAATTTAATTTAATTAAAATGACATTTGATGAAGATTTTTGATTTTAATTTATGATGACCGAAATGATGAGATTAGTGATAAATGTAGATTTTTATGAACTCGCTGGCAACAATGGCATCGTAAGAACCCGATTGCCATACAAAAAAAAGAAGAAACATTTATTTTTTATTTTTTATTGCTTTGATGGGTGGACGAGCTCACAGCCCACCTGGTGTTAAGTGTTTACTGGGGCCCGTAGACATCTACATCGTAAATGCGCCACCCATCTTGAGATATAAGTTCTAAGGTCTCAAGCATAGTTAGTTACAACGGCTGCCCTACCCTTCAAACCGAAACGCATTACTACTTCACGGCAGAAATAGGCAGAGTGGTGGTACCTACCCGCGCGGACTCACAAGAGGTCCTGCCACCAGTAAACATTCAAGCCTCTGTAATTTTTTTTAAATTTAGATCATTACTCATAAATCAGTTATGATGAGTAGACCCACCCATACAGGCTCATCGTATAAGATACACGTTTGACTCTAATATAAATATTGCACATGTCCAGATAGGATCAGTGTCGTTTGTCGGTAAGTTTGAAACGGACGCGGGTTGGGTGAAGAATCTAGCTACAATAAACAGGATAAACGATGTCAGTGTGACCAGACGTGATCCTGCCAAGACTAGCTTTCACGTCACTTTGAGGATTAAGGACCTGCAGGTGAGGATCAGATACACACAGTCATATATATAACAGCACCCCACCTCTTCCCGTGGATATAATGAAATAGCACTAACGGTATCAGCAGTGAATGGAACTTATTACGAACACTGCCATTTACTGATAGTAGGGTATATATTGTAAATTTATTGACATATTGACTATACAATTGAGACGGCGGCCTCATCTCTCAAGATGAGTGGCGGCATTTACGTTGTTGATGCCCATGGGCTATAGTAACCAGTTAACAACCGATGGGCTGAGAGCTGGATTTATATCTAAGCAAAAAAATATCCGCTGTGTTCGTATCAAGTACCATTTTCTTTAAATAAATATTTACGCAAATCTTAATAATAACAAGCTTTCATCTTGCTACAATAAAATTTTCTAATTAACACACAAACCTGAAAAAATTTATACATTTCTTCAAAAACATAATATAATTAAAACTAATTTTACTATTTGATCTCAAGCTTTTTTTAAAATCATCTGACCTTTTCAATACACCCATTTCTGTTACATAAACCAGGGGTGGGCAAATATTTTGATAGTCGGGCCACATTGCAGATGAAAATTTGACCTCGAGCCAAACAGTTATTTTATTTTAAGTATAGTTTTTGCTAAGGATGTCAGTGAATGAATTTTAAAACCAACATTTCTGAATCAAAATATTTATTTATCAAGTCATTTGAATAAAAAAATTGAAAAGAAAATTTAAACCAATATTTGTGTTTTTAATAATAATAATAATAATAATAATATATACAATGCTTCACGGGCCAGACAAAATTCAACCGCCGCCATTTGCCCAGCCCTGCTCTAAACTGACGTCTTTCCCCAGATCGGTTACGACGAATACCGCATTAAAGCGATGGGCGTGTCCTGCTCCGGCAGACTCGCGGCCGCCTTCAACTCTTGCTCCCTGCACCTCGCCGTCACCATAGGCCTGGCCCAAACGGAACCGTACGCGCAACTCGACGACCTAACGCTACAGAGCATGGAGTGAGTTCTATTAGTCATTTGTTTTTTTTTTCCTACCTAAGCTGATAGCCTTGAGAGGCTATATCAGCGTCGCCTTAACTAGTAGGTGAGCTCACGGGGCTCAAACCTTGTGACGTTGCTAACACGAACCCTAGCAAGAGCCGTGCTTCGCAGAATCTACCACCGGATCGAAAACCCCCGGATGGCCCCGATTATTTCTAAGCGATCATCGTCGCTTGCGATCACGTACCCCAAGCACCGGTCATCGTTCTCGTCGAACCCGTCGCTTGCGACGAAGGGCTCGACGAGTAAATTAACTCTCAGACACAGCCCACTGAGTTTCTCGCCGGATCTTCTCAGTGGGTCGCGTTTCCGATCCGGTGGTAGATTCTGCGAAGCACGACTATTGCTACTAGGGTTCGTGTTAGCAACAACGTCAGGTTTGAGCTCTGTGAGCTCACCTACTCGCCCGGCTGCGCTGATATGCTCTCTCTAGACCATCAGCTTGAATTAAATTGAATAGCCTTTTATTCAGATCCATATTACAATTATATAACTAAATATAATAATTAGAAAACTTAAATTTAATGTAAACCTTAATATAGTCTCTTATTTGAATTTTTCTTATTTTATGCAAATCTGTTTGCCAGCCGACAAAGGCCTCCTCCAACCTTTTCCACTCATGTCTTTCTTGAACCACTCTATTCCATGTGACTTGTCTTATGTCGCCATCCCATCTTTTTTGCGGTCTACCTTTTTTCCTTTTGATTTCTCTAGGATACCATCTTGTCACAATTTTGCTTCATTTATCTTTACCTCTAACCATATGCCCTGCCCAACGCCATTTAAGCCTTCTAATTTTGCACCCTATATCTATTACCTTTGTTTTGCTTCTTATTACACGGTTACTCAGTCGGTCTCTCCTCTCCATTTGCATCATGCCAACGCGCAATGGAGATGAGCATAATCATCAGACCATCAGCTTAGGTAGGAAAAAAATAAAAAAAGCGATACACACCCTGTATATGTTGGTTTATATTATTAGCAACATGGATCTCCACGTGACCGGGCTGGGTCCGCTGAGCGGGCTGAGCGGGGCGGTGGGGGCGCGGGCGCGGGGGGCGGGGGTCGCACACGCCGCGCCCGCGCTCTCCGCGCAGCTGCACCACGACGCTAGAATCGCGCTCGCCGAACTACCGCTCTACCATCTCCTGCACGGGAAACAATACGACAACTATGTAAACTGACTTACACGAGTTGCATGAAGCCGTCCAACGAAGCCAACGATAACTATAAAGGCTTCGTCAAACAGAACGCGTCCTTAACGCGCGTCAGTACGCTAAACTGACGGCGCGCTATAACGCCGAGATGTGTTGTACTACTATGGTAATATACTGCCAAACAGAGCACCAGCGCTATAAGTACGCAGCGATCTGTCGCGGCGTTAGGACGCAATGACGTCAGACGTTGTAATTGTTTACAAATTTTATTTTAGCATCTGTGTGAATGTGTAGTAAAATACTGGATAATGCCCGAAAAATTTATAGAATTAGCTAGAAAATACCCACGCTTATACAATGCCACATCTGAATCACTCGACATCTTAACACTTAAATTTTCAGACTGCTATATAAAGGCACTAACTATGTTTTGGCGTATGTTACGTTGCGTCAAGGAGCGTTACGCTCATCTAGTCAATTTGTATGACATGAAAAGAGCGCGACGTTAAAACGCAACGCTAAGTACGCGTTCTGTTTGACGAAGCCTTAACGTTGAAGTGAAAACTTTTTTAGCGACACTAAAAAGAGACAAACTTGTACATCTATAGGATTTAGCGTGCGAGAGAATGAGATGAAACATATCTGAACGTGTCACTTCTACTTCGTGTGAAAGGCACACACGTTTTTTTTATATTTCACGACCCACCTAGGCTTGAGTGGTTACGTGGTAAAAATGAAATCGTTTGTCGATTCTAGTTAATAAAAAAATGTTTTTGCCGAATTTATTAATTAGTCGAATCTAATTGTTTTTACTTTTATCATTTCTGACGTAAGTATTTATATATAAGAGAAAAAATGAAGGAATATTTCAATAATGTTAATTCAATTCGGTATTCAAGGTATGTATATGCTTTCTCGTAGCAATAACACTGATATTATATAATATAAATTCCTAAAAGATATTAAATTGAGACTAATTGGATGCCATTATATTTTTAAAATATTGGATGCGTAAAATTTATATTAGATATTCATTTTACTTTTTTTACTATGTTTATATACAATGAATATAAACCCAAATCATCACATAATTAAATTATTGTCATTGTGACTGAGCAAAGCAATATACAATGTTTTTATTTGTAAATTTTGAATGTTGTTTTTTATCGTTACACGTAATTATATCGGTTGTGAACGCATTTGTATTTCCGAGACTGTTGTATTTCTGTATTTATTTTATATTATATGAATGTGTTATGTTGTATTAAATGTTTGAATTTGATGATTTGTTTTATTTTCTTTTTTTTTATTACTTAGCTGGGTAAACGAGCTCACAGGCCACCTGGTGTTAAGTGGTTACTGGAGCCCATAGATAACGTAAATACGCCACCCACCTTGAGATATAAGTTTTAAGGTCTCAGTATAGTTACAACGGCTATTCCATCCTTCAAACCGAAACGCATTACTGCTTCACGACAGAAATAAGCAGTGTGGTGGTACTTACTCGTGCGGAGTCACAAGAGATCCTTTTTTTTTTTTTAACGCTGGGGAATCCATTTTCGGATACCCGGTCGAGAGGGGTAATAGGTTATGTCGGACTCCGGCGCCTCCAGAGAAGAAGAGGGAGGAAAGGAAGACCAAAGTCCTCCTCCTCTTCCAATTCCTACCGGGAGACTACGCCTTGAGAAAGGCGCGCGAGGCGCTGCGCGGCGTCACAAGAGATCCTACCACCAGTAATTACGCAAATTATAATATTGCGAGTTTGATTTTTATTACACAATATTATTCCTTCACCCTGGAAGTCGATAGTGAACATTTGTCAAATACGTATTTCATTACCAAAATTAGTACCCGCCTGCGGGATTCGAACACCGATGCATCGCTCGATACGAATGCACCGGACGTCTTATCCTTTAGGCCACGACTTATCTTTCTATATAGTTACACACTTATTGCATTTTAAAAATTTGTTTGCTCGATTCAAATAATTTTCATTTGTAATAGTTACTTTTGTGATCACGGATGCTTTGAAAGAATTTTCAATGTTGCTTGAAAATAATGTTAGTATTTTAAATCGATACCCACCTTACTGTAATAGGAAAACCTGTAATAGGTTTCGTTGTAATAATGAACTGTAAAAATTATGGATTCAAATTAAGTCCGTGGTAAATTCATGAAAATCGATTTTTAATTTAGTGCAGGGAGAATGAAAATTTTGCCATCTCTTTCGCACGCCTGCATGTTTACATTTATGAATCATAGAATATTTTTCATATCCTTTATTATAAATACACAAGAATCTATTAAAAATTATGTACTCATACAAAAAGAATAAGGTGGATAGGTAATGAAGCGAGAATGTTCGCTTCATTAAAACGTCTTACTGGAAAAGCTTAGCTTTGCCTATTGCGATTACCAATATATTTTTTTAAAATGCCACTAACTTGTCCAATGCTAAGTTCGTAAAGACCTTGTGTTACAGGTACCAGATAACGGAAATAAATGTAAGTTTTTTATTATACACATACATATATATATAATATACATTCATAACCCTGGAAAAGACATTTTATATTTATCATACAAATATCTTCCCTTGGCGGGATTCGAACCCGCGACCCCCTTGTGTAGTGACCATGTCACTTACCACTATAGACCAGGGTAGTAGCCTTTAAAAATAATGAAAAGTGAAAGAAAATAATAGTAGGATGAAACCCATTAGAAAAGGAGGACAATATTATAAAAATGGAAGGAAAAATAATTTACGGGCGATCTGAGGTCGGGAAGGGGATGGGGAGGGGGGTTAAGGGTAAAAAACGGTTTTTCTCGATTTCCGGCAAAACTAAAAGTCCTATGGAAAAAAGTCAAATTGCAAAGTTGTAGGTAATAAAAAGATCTAAAACTTTTGTATTTACACTTTTTTCACATAACCTCAAAATTTAAGTGAAAAATTAAAAAAACCAAGTTTTTGGTTTTTTATTTTTATCTTTTTCAAAAAAAAATCTTTTTACACGAAATTTGCTGAAAACTTACTTTTTTATCTCCCAAATACGCTGTAATTTATTTGATTAGAAATATTTATTTTTTCACCTTATTTTGAATTAATATCGAAAAAGGACCCTAATTTTCAATCGAAAATTCACCCGTCTAAATATCAGCTTTTTTCAAAAAATTGGTATGTTTTCTGCTCGTTGAAATCTCTACTTTCCGATGGTGAAAAAAAATATATATGTTACTATAGTAAATCTTCTCAGAAAATGCAAAAAATAAAAAAAAAAACGCGACTTCAAATATATTTTTTTAATTATTATATACAATTTTTTATTTTAAAATTTACCATTTAATTACTCAAAAAACATAAGATTACAAGTTACATTGATAAAAAAAAATTGCAAATCAAAATATACTATTCTGTTGGAAAACGATAAGGTTTGAAAAACATCACTTTAATCAAAGACCGCTGGGCTCTTTCTAGTTCTAAAAATTTTATTTTAGTGGCTCCTCCCCAAACTGACAAGCAATATCCTAAGACTGATTGTGCTAAAGTTATATATATTTCATTTAACAGTCTCTTTGTGGTTATATGACGCAGTGTTTTGAAGATCCATATCAATTTTCTTGTTCGATTCATTATTAGTTCTGAATGTACATGCCAAGATAGTCTCTGATCCAATATTATTCCTAAGTATTTTGTTTGTTGTACTTTATTAATTTTAGCGCATAAACAGCCTCGGCGGCGTGTTAAAGATTTATGAATTTTTATTTCAAAATCGTCTTTTGGCTGAGTGCTGTCATATATAGAAAAGCAAATATACCTAGTTGGTTTTTTTCAGTATACAGTATTCACTATATTATTAATTAGCTCCGTACCTATACTTAAATATCTTCCCTATAATTTTAGGAAATTAGTCAATTATCCGGTAACACGACTAGAAAAAAAATATTCTTCACTATTACCTCTGTCTTGTCAGAAATTGTCAATAAATATGATTAAAGTTGTTTACATGCTTTACTTTTTGATATTCGATTAATATTTATAATAATATATAAATCCGCTTGCAAAACATCGTGTTCAAAGTTATATTTAAATAATATTGGTAAGTACCTATCTGGTTATTTCAATATCGGTAATTACAATAAAATAAACTAACAAATTTATTTTCAACAGCGAACGGTCCGTTTCAGAATTGAAAATACTAACTTCTGAACGAGCATACGGTCCACCTGGTATTAAGTGGTTACCGAATCCCATAGAGACATCACAACGTGAATGTCGCTATCCATCATCACATTTAAGGTCTATATTTCAATTATATTTAATAACGGCTGTCTTACCATTACTGCATTCCGGAAGATGTAAGCAGGTTAATCCGTAATTTTAAAAAAACTTAGCCGTGCATTAAACAATCCTGGTCTTTTTTTAAGGTACAGGAAGACGTAATTGGAAATTATTTCTAAAACATGGGTCTATTACAATCAGTATTTTGTTCCATGACATTTTGTGTTGAAAGGTGAGGACACATTTTATTTAAACGTTTCTTGTCCGGATTTCATTTCTCAATCAAAGTTCAATCCAGTCATTATTTTAATAAGAAGTAACCGCATTACATTGTTCATGATTAAAATATAAAGTCAGAAATTTTATATCGCAGTAACATTACCACTATGTACAGTGGGTTGTGAAATTGCATGTACAATGAAAGTGAGATGGTATTATTTTTTTCTCCTACCTATGCTGATAGCCTTGAGAGGCTAATTCAGCTTCGCCCTAACGTTTAGATGAGCTCACGGGGCTCGAACCGGAATGCTGCTAACACTGGTCCTAGCAAGAACAGTGCTTCGTAGAATTACCACCAGATCGGAAACGCGACCCACAGTGTTAGATAGCCCATTTATCGAGGAGGCTACATAACATCACGCTAAAACCAATACAAGCGCAATATAAGAGCATCAATAAAGAATGTTTCAAAATCGGGGTTGTTTTTACCTTTTGAGAGCTTCCGCTGCGTGCGCTGCAGAAACAGTTAAAGTTTCGCAAAAATAATGTATGACTGCAAAGATCTAAAAAAAAGGCCGTGACAGCGTATGTCTATATGTTAAGGTTGGCTCGCTATAACGTTTTTTATGCTAACCAAATTTGTTCTAAAATAAAGCATTATTTGTGAACTGTTCCACGCGGGCAAAAGTTAGTTTTGAAATATTTTTAATTCGAAGAATATGATTAATATGGAATTTTTCAGAGTATTGACGTGGACTTGCTGTGCCTTCGTATTGATGCTCATGATGTTTACTATTGTTTTATTGATGGTTTATGGCATATCGGTCGGTTATCACTACGCACAGAAAGAACTGGCTTCGTTTGCAAGTATGTGCAATTGTTAAAAATATTTTAGTTGTATGTAGTTAGTATGTACACATTGCAGATAGTCTTATAATTGGGTAAAAAAATAGTCGTCCGGTGCATTCGTATCTAGCGATGCACCGGTGTTCGAATCTTGCAGGCGAGTACCAATTTTTGTAATGAAATACGTACTTAACAAATGTTCACGATTGACTTCCACGATGAAGGAATAACATCGTGTAATAAAAATCAAACCCGCAAAATTATAATTTGCGTAATTACTGGTGGTAGGACCTCTTGTGATTCCGCACGGGTAGGTACCACCGCCCCGCCTATTTCTGCCGTGAAGCAGTAATGTGTTTCGGTTTGAAGGGTGGGCAGTCGTTTTAACTATACTGAGACCTTAGAACTTATATCTCATGGTGTGTGGCGCATTTACGTTGTAGATGTCTATGGGCTCCAGTAACCACTTAACACCAGGTGAGCTGTGAGCTCGTCCACACATCTAAGTAATAAAAAAAAAACTTGAAAACATAATGTACGTCTCAAGCTTTGGTACTTCAACTTGTTTTCCATTTGTGTGTTAGTGTCTTCGAGGACCACGACAGAAGAGTCGATGGTGAGGGCTGGGCCAAAGAACTCGGTTGTTCGACTTTTGGCCGTAAACCGATCGGAGGTCGACAATGCGCCAGAACCATTGCTTGGTATGATTTTTATACTTACACTGTACGAATTGTTCATGCAAACATTTTCGATTAGAACAAAAAACAAATGAAAAGCAACATAGAGTTTTAGAGTTATGTCGTCGTCGTGGCCTAAAGGATAAGACGTCCGGTGCATTCGTATCGAGCGATGCACCGGTGTACGAATCCCAGGCAGCTATCAATTTTTCTAATGAAATACGTACTCAACAAATGTTCACGATTGACTTCCACGGTGAAGGAATAATATCGTGTAATAAAAATCAAACCCGCAAAATTATAATTTGCGTATTTACTGGTTGTAGGACCTCTTGTGAGTCCGCCTGCCTATTTCTGCCGTGAAGCAGTAATACGTTTCGGTTTGAAGGGTGGGGTGCATTTACGTTGTTGATGTCTATGGGTTCCAGTAACCACTTAACACCAGGTGGGCTGTGAGCTCGTCTACCCATGTAAGCAATAAAAAAAAACTTATCCAAATCTAAAATATAGATGTTTTAGAAAAGAGTTTACGCTAGCAACACTTTTCTGTGACATACAGCAATGTGTAATATGTATATATAGTGTTTGTTCAAACCCTTTTTCGTGATGAAAATAATATTAGACAGCGGCTCAGTTGTACGGTAAGCAGCCCTGGCATTACTGAAGTCCATGGGCAACGGTAACCACCATCAGTTGGGCCGTATTCTCGTCTGCCTACAAGGGCAATAAAAAAAACCCTGGCATTACTGGTGTCCAGAAGTATCGGGTGCCACTGATCTTCACGTGGGCCGTATGCTTAAATTACCCAATAATAAACCAATTAACTGCCTTGAAATGTAACCGACATTCGAAAGCATCTGACACCAACAATTACAAGTAGGTACAAAACTTTATGTGTTACTGGCTGTACCCGTCCGCTTCGCTGGGCATTTAAAATTATTATTACTCACCCCCACAAAGATTCTCATCAATAACGCCCCCGCAACAGGTGTAGGGAGTCCAACACTCATATAAATATTAGCCTATGTATTAAGTACATGTATTTTCTACATGGATACCAAGTTTCAAGTCAATCGGATGCACGGTTCAGTAGTTATAACGGAACATCCGTAAAAACCAATGTAGATTTATATATTAGTATACATTTACGTACTTAAGTCGTTTAATAAAATTTAGTAAGTACCTCCCAGACAGTATACACCTAAAAACATTGAAATTGTAACAGTTTGAACAATGCTCATTTTCAATTTACAGAGGTTTACAAAACTCAGAAACCGGTTGAGAAATTATTCCTGGATCCGACTGAAACGCCCATCGTTGTTCTTGAAACTGAAAAGTATATATTTCTTAGTATACCTACGAATATTTTATATTACAGTTGTACCAGCAGCCGCAAGTGCAAAACTTTCTTTTGGTAGCCGTTAACTACAGACGATGATCTTGACAGAACCATAGTGAAATTTACAGTCGAAAATTTATATTAAAAAATCTGCTACCAATGCGCGCAATGTATGACAAATTATTATCAGCTGATGCGGAAATGCGTTCGCCACTCAAAATTACAGCATCACGACATCTAACCTAACTACCGTTTTTGCTGAGCTTAGGAAATGAATATTGTTTTCTATTCTTAACGGCCGTCTGGTGTAGTGGTAAGTGACATGGTCACTACACAAGGGGGTCGCGGGTTCGAATCCCGCCAAGGGAAGATATTTGTATGATAAATATAAATGTCTTTTCCAGGGTTATGGATGTATAGTAAATATATGTATGTGTATAATAAAAATCTTACATTTATTTCCGTTATCTGGTACCTGTAACACAAGTCCTTTACGAACTTATCACGGGACCAGTTAACGTGGCGTGATTGTTAGTAAATATTATTTATTCATTTATTTATTATTCATTCTTAGTGAAATTTTGGGAATATGCTTTGCTAGCCTTACATTGACAGTGATTTCCTTTTTATTCTTCCTTTTAACATCTACCTACAAAATTTTGTCATTATGAAAATCGGTTTTAAAAAACGTCCTAGTGCATACATTGCGGCTCGATCTTGGCATTGCCAATGTCCGTGAGAATGAGTGACCGCTCACAACCAAGTCACCCGTATGATCCTCTCCACCTCCATTGGCAAAAAATAATGTTTGCCTATTATTCTGTTTTCTTTACTAAAAATGTTTAAACTATCTGTCACGTAGCCCACCTGAAGAGCCAAAGCTGTCTCCTCAAGAAAAGGAAATAGCGCGCAGACTTATCGGAAGGTTCCGGCGCTCCAGGAATACCACAACCACAAGCACCCTCCAACCTTTTTTCAGAGCACTGAAGAATACTACCACACTACTCTTGCAAACATAGCTTTTTAATGGTGCATATGCTAATCAATACGCTATGCAGCTATCTTTCGACAGCCGATATTCCATGTACAGATTACCTAATACGCGACAAAAATTTATACGTTTGTTGCTTTTTGCAAATCGTAGGCAGAACTAATACTTCATTTACAATTAAATCCCACTTTTGTTATTCCCGGACGACGCTTCGGACACTTGACGATTGTCTGCATACACTAAGGTTCTTTAAACTACCGTCATGTATTTCAAATGTATTTTCACACATACATTTCTTTACACAAAAAAAACGTAACAGTACCTTTTTATTTACGAGCATTGTAAAATATTGGCAACATCGGAAATTATAAAAAGGAAAATAATATTAATATAATTGAGATTAAACCGATTACGTGTTATTAATAAACATTATTTTAAATAAATAGTTTTATTCTTACAAACAATCGTATGACTTAAAATTCAATAGAATTTTGTTGAATTTGTAGAATTGAACACACTAGTGTAATTTTGATAAAAATCCGTTACGTTATTCGTCGGGGGTGGATTGTCAACATCACGGCGTTCCACACGATGTGCGAATCCACGTTTGACCGCTTTGTCGATTGATCGCAGCACGGGACCTTGTCCCGAGCCAGACCGCAAAGATCCTGCCGCTTTCGCTGCCTGAGCTGTAATAAAAACCCTATTGTAATTAAGAAAATAAAAGATCCTACGATATATATTTTTTTTTCCGGCAAGGGCCGAGTCTTTCCCATGAAGTTTTCGCGCCTTGGAGGGGTACGTGAGCCTCGACGGTCCACAGAAGGTGAGATTGGACCGTGAGCCTAAGTATATTTTTAGAACCCTACCCACCAAATGACTCTCTCGAGTGCAAGGGGAGTCGGGTTTTCACTCGACGTCCGATCTCCACCTGGGATCAGAACCCGGGCAGAGTAAAAGGGTTCCCGAGGTCAACAATACAACCAGACTCGCGGCTCCGCTGCAAGGACGCCCGACTGACGGACGGGTCGTCAAGGCGATCGTCGACGATCAATGACGCCGGTCTCTGCAGTACGGTGGCCCGTCCGGGCGAGGCCGCTGGTGTTCCGGGATTCCCCGCTGGGTCAGAACCAGCCCGCCGGGTTGGAACGCGATAAAAAAGCCATTAACATTAATAACATAAACGCCACCAACCATCTTAAGACATGAGTTTTGAGTCTTAGTTCTGTGGTGCAACGGTGGCCCCACCCTTCAAACCGTAACATGTTACTGCTTCACAGCAGAAATAAGCAATGCACCTACCCGTTTGCGATCACAAGACTACCACTAGCAACAAAACATTACACATTTTTATACATCTACACCAAATACGAAATACTTTTTCTTACCCATTGCATCCACTGATGATTGAACGAAACAGTAGTGGTAGCCTATCCCGATGCCCATGATGGTGACGGTTAGAATGGTCAGCATCAAACAACATGTTAGCATTGCGCATACTGTCCACAGTGATACTCTGATAAAAGAAGTCGCTATAAGTATGTATATCAACAAGAAAAATTTAATCTGTACTCATTGATAAATTCTTGATCGCCATTTAGAATTTTTATATGAAAACAAGTTTGACATAAAAATTACCTTTCCAGGGCATCAAGAATTATGGATACAAAAGAACTTAACGAGCAACATACACAACCCATTTTGATTCATTAAACATAAAATTTTAAATGATTACAATTGCAATCAACTACATTTCATGAAATCATTTGTCAGTCCATTTGATATTAAGTTAAGTAAGCCGACAATTTTTAAAATTCTGCAAACATGATTTTGTTATCATCCAACAACGAAAACGTATTGAATTATGATTGCTTGTTGTTTGTCAGCATCGGTGACACAAGTCAACAGGCTTAAAACACTAATTTCCTATTTTTGCATCAACTTTAGCATCAACCTTGCTATAATCCGATACATCGATTTAATAAATTATTATATTTATATTTTGATAGTTATATAAAAGCTTAATTTAAAATTAATGTTTAAAATAATTATATTATATTATTAATTATCGATTTTATGAAAAGTTGAGTTTGTTTTGGATTACAAAATTAAAATTAAGCAAGTCAGCTTTGTTAATTATTTTTACTAAACATCCTCGTTTGTCGGTATGTATGGCGACATTTGTGTTGTTGATGTCTATGAGCTCCAGTAACCACTCAACACCAGACGAGCAGTGAGCTCGTCCGTCCACCTAAGCAAAAAAAAATGCACTACAATTATTAAATGATATTAGCTTGTTGGCTGCGTTAAATTATTGTTGCCAATGTCGAGTTTATAGGAATCTTCAATTGTGTACGTTTAATTTAGGTACGTAATCTGTTATGTGAAAAATGATATGAAGCGAAATGAGATGAAGTGTTCTAATTTGCAACTCTAATCAAATGGAATGAAATTAAATGAAACAGNGCAAAAAAAATGCACTACAATTATTAAATGATATTAGCTTGTTGGCTGCGTTAAATTATTGTTGCCAATGTCGAGTTTATAGGAATCTTCAATTGTGTACGTTTAATTTAGGTACGTAATCTGTTATGTGAAAAATGATATGAAGCGAAATGAGATGAAGTGTTCTAATTTGCAACTCTAATCAAATGGAATGAAATTAAATGAAACAGCTAACAAGCCACCGTTATTACAGATTTAAACCTAAAGAAACACTTAATTAACAAAATAACACAATTCACACAACTCTCTCCTCTCATTCCCGCCAAAGATTCTTCAGGTAACATCATCCAAATAATCACGTAAGTGGCGATGACAAAAGTTATGGAAATTAATTGATTTCGTTAATTTTGTATTTTTCAGGTTTATTTAATTAGGTACCTATGTTGGTAGGTACCTAGTGACTTTTCTATTAAACGGTTTGATTTGGCATTATGTCAGTTTTGACACCTGTCAATATTCAGAGGTTATAAATATTATGGCAGATGTGATGGCAGATCCTAACAGTCTACAGAAGAAAGAAGAAACGAAGAAAAAGCAAAAACGCTATCCTAATAAGAATTATGCTCTTAAAAAGCGTTTACCACCTAGGCCAGTAAATGGAGACAATGTGTTGTTTATTACGAAGAAGACGAACTTTAAAGTAAAACCGAAAAACATCAAAACATCCCATTATACTATGTAAGCACTGATATTAAATATTTCTTAATTTACAGGCACAACTAGATAAATGTTGCGATTTACTAACAAGAGGAGAAAAGGAGATAATACTTCATGGTCTAGGCGCGGCAATACAGAGATGCTGTAATTTGGCACTTCAGCTGGAAATTCTATTTTCAGGCACCTGTCAAATCGAAGTAAACACTGGATCTGTAGACCTAGTTGGTGAGTTACCAAATTTCCTGAAGTTATATAGTGAGCAACAAATACTAAGTATACCACTCCAGTAACTATATTCATTTGAATGGTTTTGTCAAATCTAACTTACAATAAATACATCGGAAAAATAAATCTATCATATCTTTGCTTATATGCCATTAATCTTTTACAGATGATCTAGAGCCACTGACTGATGAACTAGATTTTGGCTCACAAATACGACATTCATCATCCATCCACATAAGAATATTTAGGACAGCAATGCTCGGATCTAATCAAAACTAGTGAAAGGGTGATAATGTTTTTTACACTAAATGAGATTGTGCAATGGATTGGACTTACTGTATTTGAAATATGGATCAATCTTATAACGCTCACTATATTTTCTGTACTGTTAGCTCTTAAAATTGATGGTGTATTGAATAGTGCATGGTGGACAATATTTGCACCTTTGTTTGTGAGTGATGCGATGAATGCATACTTTTGCTGTATTGTATGCATAAGAATGAATCTGGAAAATTCTTATAAAGCTTCTTTATATAGAGCATCTTGGAGTGGAATATTTTTAGGGCTAACATTTGTTTTCAAATTTTTACTTTGTAGAAAACTACAAGGTGATTCGGCTATAGAATACAGTGAAGTTTTTGCACCATTATTTATATTGTTACAATTGATAGCAGTACGTGCATGTCAATTACATCAATAACATTCTTAACCAAAAGATGCTCTTATATTTATGGACATAAATATTGTTGTACTATAATCATAATTATATCTGTATGTTTCATTTTTTTCAAGTAAACTGACAACTACGCTATTGTAAATAAGCTTTGTAGCATAATCTGACTGAGACATACAAATAGAGAGCTATTTACTTATGTTACTTTGAAAATGTTTACACCTGAAACCAAAACACATTTTAAATTCATATCCATTTGTTTCTGATTTTTTTGGCCATTTATGACATAGCAATAAAATTTAAACAACTAATTAAATACTATTTTTTATTCAAAACCTCAAGACTCATATTCTTTTAATGATTTTTTTATATAATGTGACTGTTTGAGATTAAAGGCTGTATAATTATACTTTCTGTCTTTGCCTATGTACCATAAAGTGCTATTTGCACAAGGTAAACTTATTAAGTACGTATTTCAATAGAAAAATTGGTACCCGCCTGCGGGATTCGAATTTCGAACATCGAGACATCGCTACATACGAATGCACCAGACGTCTTATCCTTTAGGCCAGGACGACTTCAAAATCGCCTCGACGGCCCGTCGGTCTGGCGTCCTCGGGGGTGGCGCCGCGTGTCTGGTTGTAGTGTTGACCGCGGGAACCCCCCTAGTCTGACCGGGTTCTGACTCCGGACGGAGATCGGACGTCGGGTGTAAGAGTGCAGGGGGTCGCTTAGTGCGGTAGGGCCCATAAAATTCCTTAGCCGCGGTCTGCTCCCAAGACCTGCAGATCAAGTCCCACATACCCCGCGCGCCAACTAGGCGCGGGGACCTCGTGGGAGATTGGCCTTCGGCCCGAAAAAACAAGAGTAATGACTAGTAAGATTTAAACATCTAACATCATTGATCTATTGGACAAAACTTGTTTCAAACTTCACATAAAAAGTACATAAAATAATGTAATCAGTTTGATTTTCTTGCAAAGGCAAAGGCTGTAACACTTTTCTCATGAATGTATAGATGCTTTAGTTTTGATATAATTGTAAAACATGAGACCATAGAACACTTTCACACCAGTAATACTGCAGAAGAAAATCCTAAGCATTGGGCATTTAAATGTGAAACATATTAAAAAACTGTAGATTATTTTATTATGTTTATTTATTTAGTTATTTTGACTTATAAATTATATCCAGCACAGATATTAACAGAAATAATTTTTAATGGAACATACTAAACAAGCCTCCCCTGCTCTTTTTTTCTTCTCCGCTAAAATTAAAAGTGAAACCTTCACCATTATTTTCGGTATTCGCATCATTCTTTGATTTTGTAGACTCCCCAAATAATGAAAGTCCAGCTTTTCGGAGGCCTGGAAATTAAACATATTTATAAAAAAAGTAAGACAGTTCATATGCGCAAACGCTATTCGACAATATTATGTTTGAACTTCATTTTATTAACAGAGTAAAGAGTTTAATCAAATAAAGACTAGCTCTGCTTATTCATCACCAAATCCAGAACAGATCTTATCGTAATAATACACGATACAGGGCAGATAGTTGCAGTCCTTCCAAAGCGGAAACACAAATACAGCTAGAAGCTTATAAAAGTAAAACATAAATACTTGTTTTGTTTATTTCACATTGCCTGGCAGCCTTCTCTTAAAACTGCTGATTTCACGCATAATAATTAGTACTTTTTACCTATGAAGTTGCCTTTTTACAATACTGGCCATTTGAAACCTAAATTAGATATATAAGGATGACAATAAATTCTAAATTCAAATATATATTTTTTAATATACTGTTATGAAGTTCTATATTGAAATTCAGTCAGTTGTTTATTGTGTTAATATTTGTTATTAATATGGACACAATAAAAATACGAGTAATTATGGAATAAGAGTTCCGTCGCAGTGGCAATGCCGCACAAACGGGATAAGGAATGTCTCAAACGAAAACTTTCCCCTAAAATAATCATGGGTACTGTTTGATAATATATTGCCGGTCAATTTCATCACCGCTTCTTATCAAATAGCACCAGTATTAACTACGGTTGTGTACTGTGAGGAACTGGACACAATGATGGAGAAACTCGAGAATCTCTGGCCAGTCTCAGTTCCCTGTTGCACGTATACAGCAACACAAAGTTTGAAAATCTCATAGTAGGGCTAACATTTTATACCCGAGAGGCATTACAGAATGTATTTGAGGAGTTTGTTGGCTCCCGCACAACTGACTACTTCAAGGAACACTGAACAACTGATCCATTCGCGAAGCAGTTGCTCTTGAGTTATTAGGTCTCCTTCGGAGGCGCTCAGGCAGCTGTTAGAAAATCCAACCCTCTTGGCCGAGTCTTTGCTCGCCCACCTGTCCTGGTGAAACTAGAAAGACCTTCGGATCACTAGTAATGGTTCAAACCTAAAAAAAAACTGNTCACAATCCGACACTTATTTATATAGAAAATTAACCTCAAAACGAGTTTTTATTTTTATTATATTTTTTATAATAGTGGCGTCAATTTCAATATATTTTTTAGATATCCAATACATTTAAGAATTTGAATCAGTACATTTTTATAGTAATATTTGATGTCCATCTTGGGCCTAGCACACTATGGAGAGTGGGCAATCCCCTTTAACGCTTCGTAGCGCCATTTACGAAGGTCCAGTCTCTGTATAGATATTTTAAGTTATTAGAAATTTCAAAACCAACAGAATTTAATTAGACATTTCTAATTTATACCTACCATATTTTGAGGAATTTTAGATTAATTATAATTTAGAATAAAGATTCCAAATCGTTTCTGTAGTTACGAAAGAAATGGGTTTAGAGGAGGCAATGAATATAACCACGTGAAACCAACACCCATCTAACGTAAAATAAATGTATAATAGAAAACCTACCTGTCAAAAAATTTGGTACTTCTTGAGACTGCACATCAACATCTTGACTGGCCATTGGTAGATCAGCTTTAGGTGACAGCAACAAGCTAGAATCTAGATAATGGCATCGAATTCCATAGCTCAGGTGTATATTGTACAGGAATCTAACCGGCAAGTGCTTGGTGAGCGCAAGAAGGCACTTTTCCGTAACATGTTTTATTGCTTCGATGGTTGGACAAGCTCACGGCCCACCAGGTGTTAAGTGGTCACCGGAGCCCATAGACATCTACAACGTAAATGCCGCCACCCACCTTGAGACATGAGTTCTAAGTCTCCAGATTTTTCTAAAGCACTATTTTGACTGGTGGTAGGAGGTGTTGTGAGTCCGCACGGGTAGGTACCACCACCCTGCCTGTTTCTACCGTGAAACAGTAATGTGTTTCGGTTTGAAGGGCGGAGCCGCCGTTGTACTATAAAACTGAGACTTAGAACTCATGTCTCAAGGTGGGTGGCGCATTTACGTTGTAGATGTCCATGGGCTGCAGTAACCACTTAACACCAGGTGAGCTGTGAGCTCGTCCACCCATCTAAGCAATAAGAAAAAAAATTATAGAGATGATGAAAACTTTCTAAAAAACACGCACTGATTTAAGATTTTTTTTTCTTTTTTTTATTACAGTCGCATTATGTAATCGATACAATAAATAAATAAAAATTCGTAAATTTATAAAATTTCGAATATTCTCAAAGCCGCAGCGTCTGACGCATTTTTAACAACTATAACTTTACCTCGTATCTTATTGTGGGAAGAAGGTCATGTTATCCTTTCTCATGAAAATGACAAGGTCTAGCATGAACATAAAATACAAAAGCAAACTCATCGCAATTAATTAGCTATTATTTTCTCGGTAAACGCAGCGTTCTTTTTTTATCTTTTTTTAGCACCTACCTTCACGAAGTAACACCTAGTAATAATTATTAAAATAGGAAAAGTATTTAAGGCTTAACTTGGAAAATTCATATTGTGCTAGCTTATATTATTATTAAAGATGTTTTTTCGATTTCGGGAAGTTTTAACGTACATTAATTGTTAGTTTACTGCCTCTCTGTAAACTAGTTCTAGAGCTCAATAAAACGATTTTTTATATATTTGACAAATAATATTTAAAATCCGTGAAACAGATGGACAAACTTCAAACAATCCTACCATCCCAATAAAAGAAACTTTCTCTCTATCACTAATTTAAATCGGTAGGTTGATTATCGCATCAGACAAAACTAAATAATAATAATAACCTTACCTATACAATGTGGAAATTCTGCATCAACGTCTTCGAAGCCAGTNCGATTTTTTATATATTTGACAAATAATATTTAAAATCCGTGAAACAGATGGACAAACTTCAAACAATCCTACCATCCCAATAAAAGAAACTTTCTCTCTATCACTAATTTAAATCGGTAGGTTGATTATCGCATCAGACAAAACTAAATAATAATAATAACCTTACCTATACAATGTGGAAATTCTGCATCAACGTCTTCGAAGCCAGTGGTACTAACCGATATATCTAAAGAATCGGGTATGTCGTTAGGACCGTGGCTAAATAAGAAACCTTTTACTGGATTCTGTTGCTTTTGATAAATCGCCTGAAAATTAGCGTGCGTTCTAATGACACGTCAGATTAGGCGAGTCATCTTAGTTTTTGATTACCTTCGAAGGGCTACAAGCCCAACTGATGGTGACGGGACAGCTCATCAATATCACCAATGCCAGTGGAACATCTGAGTAAGTAATTACATACTCCTAAATACTCTTCAAACCTTCTAAGTGTCACAGCGCACAGGGAAGTACCGTGAAATGAATTTCATTTCAAACTTGTTCATGACAAATATGGTTTCTGAAAACACTACGGCTACCGATAACCGGGCTCAACTCTGTTCCCATGCTACGGTAAAATCAAAGAGTCATCACCGTCATCCAGAATAAGCAGGTCTTAGATAATATTAGGTATGTCTATAATGTACGTCACATCATAAAATATGATATGGTACTGACTTGAGAATTTGTTTCAACATCAACATCCATGGCTGTTGCATTTGCTTCAGGCGCATTTTCAAAATCCACAGTGTCGCTTCTAGTACGGTCTTCTGAACATTTTGCTTTATTAGAACATTCTTTGTCTGCAATCTCATTATTAGATTCGAGGATTTCATTCTTTTCGAAAAATTTCGACGTGAACACGTTTTTATTTATATTCTGAAAAATACAAGTACCGATTACAAATTAAGTAAATATAATTTATTAGCCACTAATGCGAGAGGCATTCTGTCGACACTTAAAAAAAATGTGGCGGAGTTTTTTTTTTTTGACTGATTAGATAGACGAATCAATTCACAGCCTATCTGCTATTGAGTAGTCACCGGAATCCCTAAACAATACAACTTAGATACGGTCGTCCACCTTGAGACATGTGGTCTCCCATCCTTGAAACCAAAACCCATGTGCTTCGACAAATTTATAAATAGTATTGGTTTAATTTTATTACACGATGTTTCCTTCATTGGGGAAGCCATTCTAGCACAGAGTTAAGTTCAAATTCCCCTTAAGAGGATGGTAGCTGCCTGCAGAATTTGAATACCAAGAAACCAGTTCACATCTCGTAAATCCCCAATTCAAACATAAAAGTGAAAGATTTTTTCTGCGTTTTTTAAATTGTTTCCATTCCAATACACATTGTATGACACAACACTATTTACCGTAGAAATATTTTTAGAGTAAGTAAATTGAGGAGACAAATCTAAATTGTGTTTTTTGAATATCATATCTTTTATCTTAGAAAAGTCATCCTGGTCCACGACACTTGCGTCCACTGACTTGTTAACGGTGTCAGTAACGTCGACTTCCATTATCTCTTCAAACTTATTTGCCTCTTCATCAATACTATGAGATGTTAAACTACATATAACCTCTTTTTTGGCAACTTCGTCATCCTGGAAAGAATCCATTTGAATTGAGTACCAATACGTTATAATGACGTAATTCTAAAAATATTAATTCAATACCCCAGCTTCAGCATCATCGACCACATCAATTTGCTTGGCATTTTCATTTTCGTGCTGCGATAGTTTATTTTTGGTGTTTTTTTCATCCTCCTGCATAAAAACAAATTAGTCTTTGTAGGTAGGTGGTTAAGAATGATTTAATCATACTTTCTAACTCTACTTTAATTACACAAATAAATATATGTGATACAATAAACCTCTGAATCCTTCGTATCCGTAAACTGCGTAGGAGGTATAAGGATATCGTCTTGACTCGTTAATTCAACAACTTGAATGGTCTTACATTTTTTAGAATCTTCACTCTGAAATGTATGTATCTGGTTTTAATTTGTTCAAAATTGGACTCAGGGCAAAAAATATTGTAAATTAAGATTGGAATACTTTTATTGTTTTCGTATTACTTACTTGTTTGATTTGATCGTTATTGTTGTCTGGTCCGGAAGCTGGTGCTATAACGTGAACTGGTTGCAGTTTTTCGGGAACAACTTTAGAAACGAAATCTAACGCGTCACTTTTATCTAATTTTACGTCCTCTAATATGTTTATTAGTTTATTTCTAGAATAGTTTTTGTATTTCCCTTCAACATTTCTTGGTTTATCGAAAAACGAGGATAAGTATTCATCGGGTTTTTCACGAGTCCACAGAGTATCGCGGGCATTTTGTTTCGATGTAGAAGGTGTTGGAACTGATTGAATATTGTGCGTTGTATTTGCTAAGAGATCCATTTTTTTAACCTAAAAATGAAAAAGGCTACTTATCAATATGCATTTCAAAGTATAATAACGAGTATACGAATTATTTCGTATAAGTTTTTTTTTTATTATTGCTTAGGTCGGTAGACGAGCTCACAGCCCACCTGGTGTAAAGTGATTACTGGAGCCCATGGACATCTACAACGTAAATGCGACCTACCTTGAGATATAAGTTCTAAGATCTCATTATAGTTACAACGGCTGCCCCACCCTTCAAACCGAAACGCATTACTGCTTCACGGCAGAAATAGGCAGGGTGGTGGTACCTACCCGCGCGAACTCATAAGAGGTCCTACCACCAGTAAAATAAGTATACGAATATAAATAAATAAGTATACGAATAACGTATTAATTAAATATTTTAACTACCATTTACATTACCTGCTCCAATTTATCACTGATGATATCAACGTCGTCATTGCTTTGAAATATCGGTATCTAAAGAACAAGTAGACATAATAAATTAGTAAAGACCGAATTTCCCAACCCAAAGTCAATTTAAAAAAACTGCTGCATTATTTTTATTAAACTGACCATTAGCGGACCTAGTAAGTCAACTTCGATATCTTTTCCCAAATCTGGTGAATCAGGATCTTGAGACTTACTACTATTTATTTTCTTCGAATCATTACCAGAAATTGAAACATCGTTATAGATAGAACCAGAGTCCTGTTCAATATGCATCTCTTGTATCTCCTTAGTTAGTTCAGATATTTGTATTTTAATTTCTTCGATACGCCTAATGTCATTTGGTCTATCTTGAGTAATGTATACAGCTAATTCTATTGCACGTTTTATGTTTAAATTAGCAAAATCATTTCTTTTTATGAGTATTTCCTTTGACAGTTTTTCTGCTTGATCTTTAAGTTCTTCCACATAAGATCTCAATTCCTTCATTTTGTTTTGGGCTTGCAGTAGTTTTTGTACGTAAGGGATACTTTCAAACCTACTTTTGCACTCCAACCACAATTCTTCATATCTTTTCTCTCCGTTTTTAATGCGTTCAATAATATCCAATTTTGACTCTTTTGCAATCAGCAACTCTTTTTTAAGTTCTACATTTGCACTTTTTATTGTTTCTTGAGATAGTCGAAAACTACAATTAAAAAACACTCCCTAAGTTAATTATGGTTCATTGTGGGACATTCGACCGGTTCTTGTCGATAACAATTAAACAAACAAACCACTAACCTATAAGCATCGAATTAAGCAGAAATATGATGTAAATAATCAAGAAACATAAATTTTATTATTTATTAGTATTCCATAAGTGTAAAAACTCGACTCACAGAAATAGGATCCTACAGATACTTTGGCTAAGTTCATTTTGCAGTCTCTCCAGTACTGAAGTGTCCAGTGAGCGCCCCATTCTGAGCTGACTTTTAAAAGCGTGTTGACCTTTTCTAGATTAGTTTAACATCTCACTTACCTCCAAAAGCCACGATTCGGTTTCAGCGGTTTTTTCTGTGTGTGTTAAAGTACTGAAACGCTCTATGATATATCTTAGATTCAAATACTATCGTCAAAAGAGGCGCCACCTGAGCGCGTCTGGTATTTGACGATGTCGATGGGCGGCGGTGACCACTTCAGCATGTCAGCATGTACTACCATTTAGCCTGTTTCTGATGGTCATGGTAACAGTTATTCCAATGAAACTGAGATATCGATTGATTATATCTATATATGTAATATATTTTTTATGTTTCTACGTCATGTCCGCGCACCCGTTTATCTTAGTATTAGTTGTATCACAAAATCATATTAAAAAGTATAACATTGACAAGAGTTAAATGTGATGATGTGTTTTTCCCTACCTGGTAGCCTAAGAGGCTATTCCCTACGCCCGGACGGGTAAGTGAGCTCCCGGGTTCAACTTAAGATAATTTACTAATACGAGCACTAGCAAAAGCAGTACTTGGCTGAATCTACCACCGGTTCGGAATTGCGGCCCACTGAGAAGATCCGACGAGAAACTCAGTGGGTGTTGTATCCTTTAGGCCCCGGTTACTTCAAAATTATAAACAAAGATGGGTTTTAAAAAAAGTATTTTTTAAAAAAGCAGTCTGAACTGTACCTTATAATTTCATTCTCCGCGAACTTTATTTCAGATTCCAATTTCACGTTAGCGCTACTCATAAAATTGCAAATTTCCTTTAGTCTGTCGGTTTGCTTACGGAGTTTGTCGACCAAAAATGCTTGAGCTAATAGTAAAGTTGATATTTTAATGTGTAAGAAAATCTATTTTTATTTTTTGTCCGTGGTTTTTACTACGACTGTACCTTTTATGCATTGACTTGAAAATACCACTTTGATTTGTGATTCGTCTACTTCCGTAGATATTTTTGCTAGAGCTTGAACATCGGTGGACTCAGACATTTTCACAATAGTATTTAATATTATTTTCGTCTGGAATGTAGATAAAACTAATGGCAAATGGCGCGAAAATTTTTTTCAATGATATCGGCATAGATAATACTTAATATTTAAGATAATATGTATAATTATGGAAATATTTAGATAAAGGGTTCTAAGTTCATACAGCTTTCATTCTAAACCATCTGGAAATTCATAAAACTGATGATAGAGAATAATGTAAGTAAAACATAAAAAAATGCCGCTTCCTGAGCAAAAACCAAGATGATTCATCACTTTCAGATTACTGAAAAAGCAGTTGAAGTAAGGGTCTATATTACAAATAAAACGTAAATTTAAATACCTTAAATTTATTTAACAAAATAAGTGTCATACAGTTATTTAAAATAACAGACGTAAATGATAATTTGCAATAAAACCTAGCATCCTAATTAAACCAGGTACTTTTTATAAATTTAATAGACTAATAAAAAGTAAAGGACACAAACATCGACGAATGCAGCACGAAGGAATGTTGGCTTACGCTAGTAACACATTTATTATACCGTGTGCCGTAACTAGCCGTTTACACTGACCCACATTGTAAATTTTCAACTCGTACAGAGACACAGTTTCGTCTATTTATACATATTTACAACACAACAAAACAGAAAGGTTCATTGAAAACCTACACAATCCAGCTTTCCACAACTCAAACAACCAAACTAATGGCATACGCACTCTCGCAATATCTTACATTATGTTATATAATACTGTTATGTCATTTATTTATTTAACATAGTTAAAACTTAAATTTTGCTGTCCACCAAATAGTTCATCTTTAGGTAGCACTTTAAATTCCTTATAAGATATCAATTTGTCTAAAAGTGTTCGTATAATTATAGTACTTTGGTTTCAATTAACTGGGATGACTATTTTATTTAATTATGATTCGGTGAGAGTTTGCGTTAAATTAAATTATGTTTAAAATATCATGTATCATTGAGCAGTGACCAGTCTGCTCAGTAACATTAATAGAGAAAGCAACCAATTTTGGTGAAATCGAACACATTTATAGGATAAGTCAAAAGCATGTCAGTGGAATAAATTAACAGTAGTACTTAAAAATACATTTTTAAATTATCTACTGGGTCCCAATTTCAATTTTTAATGTCGTCGAAGTATGTAGTTGCCAACATTCACTAGGTGCGACGCGATCGCTGCGTGATTGCGTCAAGCGAAACGAATTCAAACGTGATCGGTAACGCACCTCCGACGACACCCGCCGGCGAGCGAGGCTCACGGGCCGGGACAATCCTCAGCATGATCACACAACGATCACCAGGATAAATTGCCTACGTAAAATATCTTCAGTCGAAATACTTCTCCGGCCGAAGGCGGAAAGAGCGTGGGGACCCGAATCCGGGAACAGACGAGGGCAGGTCGCGGCGCGCGTCCCACTCATTAACTGTACGGCGGCGGAGACAGGATCTCTGTCAGCAGGCGCTTCAAGCTGTCGATGCCGGTCAGGAAGCCGCAGTCGGGCCCGTGGTGCGGCGTGGCGGTCGCCAGCGGGGACTCGGCCGCCGCGCCCGCGTACGCCGTGTGCGCGAAGTCGATCATGCGGATGTCGACACGCTCCTCGGGCTCCGGGGCCCAGCGCTCGCAGCGCGGTCGCTTGCCGCTAGCCTCCGCCGACGCCTCGCCCTCCGCCTCGCCGCGCCACGACTCGCTGCTCGCTGACGAATACGCCATCCAGCTGTCTGCAGAGTCCGGGCTCGGCGGGTGCGGCCGGGGCGAGTGTGACCCCGCTGAGCCCTCTTCGTATCCGCTCATCGTCTCCTCAGAGTGCGGCCGGAATGGTTCACGCGAGTCTGAAGATATCTCGTCGTGTAATGTTGACATATCGAAGTGTCCGGGCGAGGGCGCGTGCTCTGTGGAACTGCTCGATGCGTCCGCATCGTACTCTCCGCCAGACACCGTCGGAACGTCCACGTCGCCTTCGTAAACGATCAAAAGAGAGCTGTAAACAGAAGATGAGACTATTACGAGAGTTCAGTCGGCGAGGAAACTGAAAAAGCATAAATGACATCTGTTGCATTATTACCAAGAATAAAATCGGTAGCTGGTCTGCTTGGCGATGGCGCGGCGCAGCGCGTCCAGGTCCCGCAGCACGCGGCGCACGACGCGCGCCCGCAGCCCCGCGCCGGCCGCGAAGAAGTCCCTGAGCGCGTCCCGCAGGCCGGCCTCGGTGAGCGCGCGGCCCCAGTACTTGTCGCGGCGCACGCACGCGCCGGTGCCCGCCTCGAACACCTGCATGCCGCACAGCCGCACCCCGAGCGTGCCGGACGTGCTGGCGGCGCACTTCGCCATCTGCTTGCTGCGCTTCTCTGCCGATGCGTCGTCTCCGTGCTGGCGCGTGCCCATCTTTAGGTCCAGAACGCACGGCTTGCGATACGAAGAAGTTATGTTCTCCATCATCAAGAAATCTGTAATAGACAAATAATTTTGTAAATACCAATTAAAACATTCTCGGAAAGTAGACAAATTTTTAGAGTTAGGTAGAAAACTTACATTGTTTGTTCGAGTTGTCCATGTGCGCAATGCTTTTGAGCACTTCGCTCGCATTTCCATTCCTGTGAACTTTGAATCTGCAAAAAAGAGAAGAAAATAATGAAGACGCTGCACAAGGTACTCAGTGTTGCGGCACTAACTAATAAATCAGGATCTAATTGAAACACATAGTCGGGTGTTATCTGTTATATTGTTACATTTGAATCAAACAGTATCATTACCGCGAGTCCGCGACGCAAGTCATCGATGGCTCGCAGTGTATATGGGACGTGCATCGCTCACGCGTTAGTGGGATAGTCATGTAAGTGCGAACGTATGAATTAATGGCGACGTCGGGTGCCGGTCCGGCGTACGTCAAAGCTTCTGAAATATGATAAAGGACACATGACAAGTGTCGAGGAGTATCAAGAGCGCGTGCATCGTGCATGGCGCTCATACGCACTTGAACACGTCGTCGCGCTTGCGCTTGCCGCCCAGGGACTGCTTGCGCCCGTTCTCCTCCCGAAAACATGGTGAGTACCGCTTGTCCAATTTGTTGGTTCCAGTGTTAGAGGCCTGCATCACGCCTGAAACAAACAGCCTCGCCATCACAACACGGTTCTACCAGACCACATATTAGCAACGTTTGTAAAGGAAAGTTACTAATTCATTGAGAAAATGTTCATTTCAATTATTTAAAAAAAAAACATTCGTATTGCGTAATAAAAGTAATGATTATAGACTAAAATCATAACAAGTTCAGAAAACCCAGCGAGATTCTGCTAACTCTCTATGGGTGTTGAGATTTTTTTAAGCTATAATCATTGAAGATATTTCTAATAGTTTTTAACTTACTATATTGAAATAAGTAGGTGGCTGTCAAAACGTATCTATTATTATAAAAAAATAAAGGGTTTGTATAACTTTTGTTTTTGTGTAACTGTTATCAGTGTGCGCTGATTGTTATGAGCGGCTTATGTTTGTGTGGGTGCGGTTTGTCTTTGTGTCTGTTTAGTGTTGCGAGTTGAATGGAGAGCATGTATGAAGTGAATGTAGTTTTTAAGTAAAGGTTTACAAACCCAAAACGTAAAATTACCGCTAGGGCGATATTAGGGGGCGGTTGTGTTGTTGGCCGCCGGCGTCGCTCCGCCCGCCGCTCCGCCGCCGCCCTTGCGACAACAAGGAAACTAATATTGTGTTCCTGAGCCCAGGCCCGCTCGCGCCCGCTCTCGCACTCAAACCCGCCCTCCGCGCGCTCGACCGCTAACCCTAATGCGAGGTACGCCATCAACCTCAGTCACACATAGCATTCACGTCTTATGGCGTTTATACTAGTTCTAAATACACCATTGAACTTTTACTAAACGACTAATGTTATTATTACGCAATACTTTTCTGATAAAAAGTACTTTCGAAAATTGTTTTTAAACGTATAAAAACGTAAAAGATTCGACGTGAATCTTTTATCCTCGATTAGTTTATGTTCCACATACAGTTAAGACCATTAAAATAATATTTTCTGAATTTATTAAAAAAAAACTCGTTTATGTTGCTTAGGTAGCCGGGGCATCCTAAACACACAGGCCATAAAGATAAGAACGTTGAAATTTTTCGGAACGATTTTTAATTTTAAATAATACTAACTTTCAATATTGAGAATTTTTATTAAATTGTATTTTTTACAAATATATTTCGGAATTTCCCGCTCGAATTCCGATAGCTACCATTTTCAAACACATTCAAAATTGAAAACAAAGTCGAAATTTTGTTTCAATAAAAAAAAAACAAAAAAACATAATTTACGAAAACTTAAGGATAATATGTGACATTTTAAATTCAACGTGTAAAAGTTCAATGACATTACAATGCACAATATAGGCGCGGAGGTTGAAGCAATATTCAGAATGAACCTCAATGACAGTAGCTACAGATATTATTAAATCAACAAAGTCATTCTCTTGTCTTATATTGTGCACTTATCAAGTAATCATATTTGTGTGTAAAGAGTTTTTCAAATTCCCTTTAATCTTTAGACGCTGAATCNATTCAACGTGTAAAAGTTCAATGACATTACAATGCACAATATAGGCGCGGAGGTTGAAGCAATATTCAGAATGAACCTCAATGACAGTAGCTACAGATATTATTAAATCAACAAAGTCATTCTCTTGTCTTATATTGTGCACTTATCAAGTAATCATATTTGTGTGTAAAGAGTTTTTCAAATTCCCTTTAATCTTTAGACGCTGAATCCACCGGTTGTCAAAGTTTTCATTTTAAAGAATACTTAAATATAATACGAATCGTTTGAAAGTATCTTAATAATATACTTACCGATTACGGATCAATTCTGTAAAGCCTAGTTACGATTAAAAGTAACGCTTTGAGTAAAATCCGTAACATGATTTATTTGCTATAATGTAGTTTCAGTTTTATTGTGTTTTTTAAAGTTTATCCGAGTGCAAAATTAATAATAGTATTTTCGCGGTCGGCGGGTTTGCAAAGGATCAACAAGCACACACAACTGTCATACACACAACACAATTTCAATGATGAACACGAACGTTGAGCAGTAAGGAAAATTACTCAATACAATTCATATTATTATTATTAAATTAAAACGTTTCCGAATCAAATTTTTTACGACTCGCAAGCGAGATAGCTGCGCGATTAGATATACATAGATGACGAGAACTAAACGAATGGCGCAATCGATAAAAATAATTTATTCGTGTATCGATTCAAAGTACGAAATAATTTCGAAATATTATGATAAAATACAACATTATTACAAAACCAACCAACCGTCCTCTTGCGTAAAACGTGAAAAGCGCTTAGAAAATGACACTTCATTCTAAGAATTTCCTTAATGCTCTTATCTTAACGTAAAATTAACAAGAAAAATAAATGAAAACATACCAAAAAAAAAAAAAAACCTAATATTGCAAAAGAAAAACATTAATGTGAAATGCAATGACTGATAATGATGTTTGTATACAGCGAATCATAAAAGCGTAACGTAAAAACGGTATAACCTATGAACGCAGCGAAGTCAATTCTCACCTTTATATCTGGGAACGAAGCCTTGGATATCTTCAGGAATGTTCTGGTAGAAATGCAATTCGCGTATGTTCAGCGGCTTGATCACCGTACTGTCGTTCAGTACCAGGAGTCTAGTGTGCCCTCCCACCTGCACAAGGAAATTACAGTAAGTCTCCCATTTTCTGGATCTTTCGATTTCGATTTTAAGGGTGAAACACCCGTAGTACTGTATAAAATGATACCTTAGAACTTATGTCCGGAAGTAAGTGGCGGCATTCACGTTGTAGATGTATATGGGCTCCGGTAACCACTTAACAATAGGTGGCCCGCGAGCTCATCCACCCATTTAAGCCACTATATAAAAAATCTATAATTCCTTGATCACAATAACATTTCGCCCTTTCCTTAATTTAACTGTCCTATTGTGGAAAAGAAAATTTAATTTAACTATACTATTATGAGAAGTGATCTAACTAAAATTATATTAATATTAATTATAATCTAATATTATTAAAAAAAAAATATTGCCCTTGTAGGCAGACGAGCATACGGCCCACCTGATGGTGAGTGGTTACCGTCGCCCATGGACTTCAGCAATGCCAGGGACAGAGCCAAGCCGCTGCCTACAATGCAAATGTAAATCACTAACAAACTGTATAAAATTTTCTAATTTTTTTTTAATTTTTAAGTCGACAAATAATAGGCTTTTTTATATATTTCTTCATTATGGAAAATACGGTACGTGGAACAATACTGGTTTGTTTAAATGGTAATTCATCACGAGTTGGGCTTAATAAAGCATAAATATATTTTACGCTGTAACATAATTGTCCGATAAGGCGCTTCGTCATCTAATACTCGTGTAGTACACACGCGGAAAATCGTCACCGAAACATTGCTGGCCTTGAACGGAGTAAACCCAACGAAATCATCTGATCGACGGATATTTTTACGACTCGTTTATACGCCACGCTTACACGGCACATATCGTATACTACTCCGATAAGATATTCACGAAACAAACAATAATATGACGCATAATAGATACATAACAAAAGAATTTGTGCGTATTGAAACATTGTTCTTTCGATTGTAGTAGGATGAAATCGTTCTAGACATAATGACGATAATGTTAAGTCTGTTCACGAGTAATTTGACGGACGATCTGTGTGTGCTTAGTGCGAGTTTTTTAACGTTCTCGATAGCGTAAAAGTTAACTCAAATTTGTATGCAGTTGGACAGCGCCCCTAGCGGCAAACGTAGGCAAACGTGTAAACGTTATCGAGAACGTTAAAAAACTCGCACTAAGCACACGGGTCGCTTGGAGTTAAACGAAATAAAGGTAAAATGGCATTGACCCGGCATCGAGCAGTGAGTACAATGTTAAGTCTATTCGCGAGTAAGTTGACGGACGATCTGTGTGCTTAGTGCGAGTTTTTTAACGTTCTCGATAGCGTAAAAGTTAACTCTAATTTGTATGCAATTCGAACAGCGCCCCTAGCGGCAAACGTAGGCAAACCTGTAAACGCTATCGAGAACGTTAAAAACTCGCACTAAGCGTCGCTTGGAGTTAAACGAAATAAAGGTACAATGGCATTGACCCGGCATCGAGCAGTGAGTACAATGTTAAGTCTATTCGCGAGTAAGTTGACGGACGATCTGTGTGCTTAGTGAGAGTTTTTTAACTTTCTCAATAGCGTAAAAGTTAACTCAAATTTGTATGCAGTTGGACAGCGCCCCTAGCGGCAAACGTAGGCAAACGTGTAAACGCTATCGAGAACGTTAAAAAACTCGCACTTAGCACACGAGTCGCTTGGAGTTAAACGAAATAAAAGTAGAATGGCATTGACCCGGCATCGAGCAGTGAGTACAGTCCAGCTGAGCAGCCGACTACCCTACGCCAAGCGGGACTTGTGGGTCATTTTGTTTGCTCGACTCTGTAACCTCATTGTCTATTCAAATTCTAAACAACGCGACTGCGCATTAAACCGATGCGACCTCTCCCGTTGCATAAGTCAACGGATTTATGGAAAATTTCGTTCGACAACGCCTCGGAATGTAACTCAACTACTAATAAAACGATTAGGGCAGACGATAAGAGTGTTTTTCAAATATAATAATTGTTAATATTATCAGTCACTTTCGTGGTAATTATGTAGATCCTTCGCTTAAGCAAAAACACGCTACAATTTCCGTACTTTTGAATGTAACGATAAGATATAGTAGGTAATTGTGACGTCATCGTTCTATTTTAGGTTATTTGTAAGAAATTCTAATGAAAACAAATTAATAAAAGTGATACTCACTATCAGGTACATAATCTTTGTCGCAATTTATATAAACAACAATTTTAAAATATAATAATATAGCAAAACAATCGAACAAACTTTGGATTTTATTTAAAACTAGCTGACCCGGCAGACTTCGTAGTGCCTCAATCGATAAATAAAAGACCTAAGCTTTGGTATAAAATAAACTTAAACAAAAGGAATCCGTCCGACGGGGGACACATCAAAGGAAAAACAAAGTTGTTATTTTTATTTAATTCCGAGCATTTTCATATTTATTTACATTTTAAACCTTTTTTGGACTTCCTCAAATAATTCAAGACCAAAATTAGCCAAATCGGTCCAGCCGGTCTCGAGTTTTAGTGAGACTAACGAACGGCAATTCATTTTTATATATATATAGATAGATAGACATTTAGTTTTAGGAAAGTACGTCGTTAACTAGCCAAGCATTCGAGAGATGAAACGTGCATTTCATTTTAAAACACATATTTTTAGAAATCTCAGTGTTTGATGTCGGAATGAGTAATTTTAAGATGCTCCTCCCATTAAAAACAAAAAAGCTATCGTATCTAAAATACTACTCAAGGGCGGATCCAGCTTTGGCGCCAGGAGGGGGTCACATAGTCGCGGGCAAGTTAAGAACTTATAATTTAATTTTGATAACAATAGATAATAAATAAATCATGATGTTCTTCAATTAGTCCAAGTTAGTTCAAGTCCTGGAACTAGCTCAGGGGGGGTCATGACCCCCATGACCCCCCCCCCCTGGAGCCGCCGTTGGTACTACTAGGAGTATTCGTGAAATTTATATATCGAGACTCAAGATGAATTATTAAAAGACATTTCTCGGCTATTTGTACATGACGTAATGATTGATTGTTTTAATTTTGCGTAATTAGTAGTGATAGGACGTATTGAGAGACCGTACGTCTTACTAACATACGGTTTATATCAGGAAGCAATAAATATTGTATTCTCCAATATAGAATAAATGGCAGCGTAGACGTTATAAAAACAAACCAAATAGTGCGAGTAAAACTATAGCCTTGAGGGTTCTGGAATTTTTAAGAGATTATAAAGTTCTTTCTAAACAAGGTTACACAATCATTCAGCACGTATGTTCTTCACACGTTGTGCGTGTCCCACATGTATACACATAGGCACAACATAAAAAAGACCTAAAATTAAATAACTGACATATCATTAGGCTGTATGGGCTATGTTCCCTTTAGTTACACAAGTAGGACGAACAAATGCAAAAATAATTTACAGATAAGTTTAACAGGAAATAAAGACATAAAAAAATAATAATGATAAGACTTTCTTTTAACAACGGGGAAATTACGTTCTTGTTATTTATTATAAATTATATTTAATTGAAAACAGAGATTAATACGAAAGCCTATGAATAAGTAATTTTACACTGACTACTGTTTCTTAATATATCAGTTAAGTACATATAATCTCATCCTCTATGCATCAAAATATATTATACACAAAAAAATATACGGTGTGTTGTTTGGGTGCATCTACTCCAAATCACCTTTATTATCTGATTGTTTGTTTACACTGGACAGATTGTAATAAAACCTTTTTTGTGTTGAATCCAGAGACAAAAATGAAAACATAACCTAGCACAAGCAAAATATAGTCTCCAATTTCAAGTGCACTAATTTCGTTTATTTGAAGGTAAGCGGGTCCCCCCTAAAACACTTAGTGCTTTCAATCACGTAGTTAAAAATCAACAATCCATATAAATCTCTAAATCTCGATGTTAGTGATTGTCCCCAGACATAGAAGTTCAGTGAAAAGTAATTCGATAATTTGCTGCTTCAATGCGAATACATTGATGCTTACCTGATTGTGGAGTGGCAGAACGTCGACCTCATGTCCGTCGTCAAGGGATAAAGACGAGTGCACAAGGGTGTGCGGCTGCGTGCGCTTGCGGTCTGCACTACGCCGCTCCGGCTCGCCCATTCCCCAGCCGAGAGAATAAACCATCACTTCGGCCGAGCCACCGCCGCCGCTATCCACCTATAACAATTTCTGACTTATTATTATTACACTTGACTAAATTTAGTCGACTAAATTCAGAAGCAAATTTAGAAGCAAGTTAGAAGCTTCTGATTACACTGTTCTCAATTCAGTTACTGAATCAATTGCCAGTTTAAACGCGACGAAGTTGGACGTGTGGTGTGTGTAAGAGGATGGCCCCAGTATTGTCTAGACAAAAAAAAAATTGGTCTTGACGTAGCCCTCGCTGTCGGCTCATTGAAATAAAAAAAAAGAAAAAGAAGAATATGGGTGAAGAAATACTTATTGCTGCGCGGAAAGTTAGCAAATATGAACATTATGAATGATTTAGAACCAGCAGACTTCAAAAATTATCTATAAACGGATTCGATCTCGTTTGACCTAATATTAAACCTTGTGACACCGTTTATTCAAAAGCAGAATACTATCCTACGATAGTCTATTATAAATCTATTATATAACTATTACATATCTAATCCTACAATAGTATAAGACCAAAAGAAAGATTGGTTATAACATTAAGATTTCTTGCAACAGGAAATTCGTATCAAGATTTAAAATTTAGTTCTTTAACTTAGTATTAATATTATAACTTAAAATTTAGTTCTTTATCCCAACCCCTGTTGACAAAAATTATTCCTAAAACATGTCGGGCTATTTATAAATGTCTGGCACGTTAAATAAAGATGACTGAAATAAATACTTTTTATTCGGAAGTAAAAAACAAACTAAAACGTCCTTACGCACGGAGAGCTATGGGATAATTGAAATCATTAAGTAACTGAATGCGATTACACCCTCCTAAATGCGTTTCTAATTAGGCTTCTAAGTGATTTAGTCAGTCAGAGACCATCCTTGCTACTGATTTAGTATGCTAGCTTACTGAATGCTATTACACTTCACTGAATTTAGTAGCGACTGAATTCAGTCGACTAAATTTAGCCAAGTGTAATAAGCCTTTTAAGCTGCTTTTAGACTACGCTATACTATAGCGCCATATAATATAGCAGCCTATACTTAGCCAATAATATATGGTACAAGTACAGTGTGAACGTGTCCATAACAATGTGTAGTGTACGATATTATTGTGCTATGAGCTATATACTATATGCTATTATATTATAGCGTAGTCTGAAATCAGCTTTAGACAACAACATAGGCACCCCTTTAGTGAAAGAAGTATATTTCGAAAAAAATACACAGAAATCTAATTGAGTACCTACCTACCTAAAAATAAAAATAAAATAACTTGACAGCACTCAGTTCCCAAATGAAAATATTGTTTTATTTTAACGGTCTCATTCTAGAAACTAATTAATTTACATTAATTACAATTTTCCGAGAACCAGTTTTGTTTAAATGGATTCTGAAACAATACATATTCAAATATATTTTTTTATTGCCCTTGTTGGCAGACGAGCATACGTCCCACCTGATGGTGAGTGGTTACCGTCGCCCATGGACTTCAGCAATGCCAGGGGCAGAGCCAAGCCGCTGCCTACCGCTTAATACTCTCCACAAGCCTCGTTTGAAGAAGGATATGTCATAGCGCTCGGGAAACACCGTGAAGGGGAGCTCATTTGTATATACTCTGTATTTTTTTACAATATAACACGTTATTGTATGGGTTGTTATTACATTCCTCGTAACATCTCGCTTGTTTCACAAGGATACGGAGTTTAGAATAGAAAATTCGGACGTATAATAATAAATCAAAGTTACAAATAAATTAGGTTAGTAGTTGTTGTTTAAGCTTTCGCCTCTCCCGGTTATGATACAAATAGAACGAGAAGTTTCCAACAGAATATACTGAACTAATTACGTCATTTACGTATGACAGCTGTTGTTTATTCCGCCTTAAAACGTGTTTATGTACATACATTACTATAATACGTCACAAATACCATCATTTGTGTCAACATAGTTACAAAATCACTCTCGTATTTACAAGAACGGCAATGACATGGCGCAGCGATAACTGTACTTTATCTAACTTGACTTCCCTAGACTAAAAACCTGAGTTATTAAGTTTTTTCTTCTGCTTGAGACCAATTATTAGTTCCTAAGGATTCACACTCCAAGAAGAGTTTTTTGTTACTAATATAGCTGTTTTTTTTATTGCTTTGATGGATGGACGAGCTCGCAGCCCACCTGGTGTTAAGTGGTCACTGGAGCCTATAGAAATGTGCCACCCACCTTAAGATATGGGTTCTAAGGTCTCAGTCTAGTTACGACGGCTGCTCCACCCTTCAAACCGAAACGCATTACTGCTTCACGGCAGAAATAGGCAAAGTGGTGGTACCTACCCGTGCGGACTCACAAGAGGTCCTACCAGTAAAAGCTATGTATATATTTGTATATTATTTTACTTGCCACTTTTTTTTTAACGTAAGTGAAAAATTAAGAAACTATATTTTATATTTAATTTTGCATCTTAAATCGATCTATATTCTAAATCAGGCCTTGCATTAAATCACTTCCGATGGATGAACCGGTCCCGAATACTCTACCGAAAGATTGTTTAGATTATACAGAATCCTTTAAACCTGACAAACGCTGACTTCATGTCCACTCCAAGTCAGATAACAAAGTGTAATAAAAACGGAAAAAAATATAGTTTCACTTTTAATAATTAACTACTTTGTTATTTTTCAGTAGGTACGATCTGTTTGCTTCCAATGTTCATGAGTGTTTTAGTTTTATTTGGTGGCAAGTTTCTTCACATACACGATAAAGTTTAAATAAAGGTCGATGCAAAACAACCTCGCAGATTATCCTGAGTCGAGAAACGAAAACGACATTTAAAAACGTATTATTATTCAAATTCTTGGAAATCCAAAATACAAAAGGAAATAAATATTGAGTTGTTTCATTTCCAACAGCGTTACAACGCGTTGGATATTTTAAACCAAAATCAGGTAACGACGCCCGTCTGAGTCAAACGAGTGTCGTTGTTGCACGTTCATTGAAAACAAACACGTGAATCGAGGTGGTTTTCTTTGTTTTTGTGTTATTGTGACGCAACAGCTCAGCGATTAGCTTCGTTCGTGGCGTCGAAGCGATTGCGTCGCGACCGCCGTCCATCCGACGTTTACTAGAACGTGCCAGCGCGGGGCGGCGTCACCAAATTAGATGAGATTTGGCGACCGGGAGAACTAACTCGGTAGACTCATGTGACGCGAAGCCCCGCCTTACGCGCCAAATCTTTTAACAGCATAGTGCGTACCAAACGCACACATTTCCTTCATACGTCACATCATAAAAATAATGCACACACTCGTTTTAAATCAATTCTTAAAACATTTACGACAAAATTTATCACTCAATTTAAATCGATTAAAATTGGTACTAAATACTTCAAGGTGAACTCTACAATGATCTGTTAATAGTTTTATACGTATACTAATGTACGTGATTGGATACAATAGAATAATTATTATGTACTTAGTGTATCAATGTTGCTGTTGTCATTCCGAAAGTCACTAAAATCGTCAACCGAATTAAACCAGCGGATTAAATAAGTAGATGGACAGACATAGCCTATCAATTAAACTAATTACTAAAATAATTAATTCGACCTAAAATGCGTGCTCAAAGTCCTTATTTCATTTGAATAACGGCTACCATACCTTCGAAACTGAAAAGTATGATTAACCAAAGAAATACACATGCATATCGTCACAAGCTGTACGAAGTCAAAACACCCATCGGGAAATATGACCTGGAGCCTAAATCCTTCCTAATAAATATATCCGTTTTTAAATTTCGTAGTTTTCAAACTGCATCTAAAATGTTACAATACAACACGAAACAAACTAAGGCATACGAACTCATTCAAATTACTAGACCAATTAAGAAAGAGTGAACAGCCGTTGGGAGAGGTCTGTGTCCAGCAGTGAACAAGTGATTGTAACGAAATAGTCGTACTTGAAAACAAGACATGTGAGTCTGTCTATACTCGCAATATAACCTCTAGTGTTGTTGACATTGAGAATGAAGTTAATGAACTTTAGTCTCTTTCTCGTATCGAAGTATTACAAAAACAACTCTATAAAGATTCAGTTAACAAAGGCTGAGAATAATGAACGCCATATTTTTATGTGAGACGCTTTAGCGAGTTTATTAATTTTGCGTTAAACGATTTAGCTACCGACAATTGGTTCACACAAAAATCATTCGAAAAAATTACGTAATCAAGTGATATTGACTGATTTATTCTCGAGAATAAAATGTCAAGGTGAAGATTACAAGTACTGTAATGCCGTGTTAACATATTTATTATCGGATGGTGAAAGAAATATCTCATCACAATTACGTCCAAACATTCATGTCTTTTAATATCTTTAAAAAAAAAGAACACTGATCATTTTGTTTACTTATCACACATATATTACATTTTTTTTTTGCTTATATGTGACCTTGTCTTTGACCCGAATAGCTGAACTACATGATTATATTACTGAAGTCTAGGTCAGAGGCGGAGGCATTTAAGTGTTAAAAATGTCGTTTGACTAATATTAATCGATTTTTTTTCGCAAGGTACTTATCGATATTATCCATGGAAGTTAACATATTGGGAAGTTAGCTTGTACTGTATCTGTACGAGCAAGGATATGAGAGATTTGAGTCGACTATTATCAAAGCCGGCAATGTGACTTTTGGACAATCATTGGTAAATCAGAAAAACGAATTATTGACTTTGTATTCCATTGGCAGTCACAAAACTCTTCTGAACGACATCTTAGATAAATAACAGGTTAAGTTATTACTTTATTTAATGCAGGTTTTGAACCGTATTCTTTTGAAGGAGACGATTATATTCAAATCAATCTGTATTGCCATATCAATAACATTTTTTCGTCCAAATGCACAGATTGCCACCTTTGATAATAGACGACTCATTTACAAAAAAAACAAATAAAAGACATTAGCCCCTGACCTAGAATCACAGATTTATACATTTTCTCTGTGTATGTAAACAAACGAACGTTTAAAAGAAA